ATTATGTACAATATTTTTTAATCGTCTGCTATATTTTTTCCATTATCTACAATATTTTTTAATCGTCTGCTATATTTTTTCCATTATCTACAATATTTTTTAATCGTCTGCTATATTTTTTCCATTATGTACAATATTTTTTAATCGTCTGCTATATTTTTTCCATTATCTACAATATTTTTTAATCGTCTACTACATTTTTGCATTGTCTACCATATTTTTTAATCGTCTGCTATATTTTCTCCATTATCTACAATATTTTTTAATCCTTTGCTACATTTTTGCATCGTCTACCATATTTTTCGATGATTTGCTATATCCTCGCATCACCCAGCATATTTTTTAATCATCCGCTATATTTGTGCAACGGCCACCATATTTTTCCGTCATCCGCCACAATTTCGCGCCGCCCCGCCGTATTTTTAAAGCAGTTTTGCCGAGGATAGACACGTGGGAACGTGGGCGATCATTGTCGATTGTTGGCTCGCTCGCTTGTTGCGCGGCTCATAATCGGGCACGTACATAATTGCGCTGCAATTAGCAGTGTCGTCGGTGGAACCGAAACGCTGACGACGGTGCAACGTTCCTTGAAACGCGACAATGCCGGTGGTGGTGGTGGTGGTGACGATATTTTAACCGAGAGTGGTAGGTCGCGGTACGATACGTTACCGAAAGAACGTACGACGCTTTTATGAAAAGGAAATACGATACTTTAAGCGAACACTATACAATCCTTCACTAAAAGATCATACAACGATCTAAAGAAAGATTATACAACGGTTTAATTAAGAGAATATCATACGATACTTTACTAAAAAACGATGAAACGATGCTAAAAGTGTCGCTCCGCGCCTTGAGAAAATGCCACAGAAAACTACTAAAAAATCGACCGCGTCAAGGCTAAAGACCCCACGGACGGATATTGTTCAAGCTGCGCGCGACTTTCGGATGATCCGGCGGGATGATCCATCGATCAGCGATCGGGGAGCGGCAGGGGAACGCACGAGGCAGAAGCGAAGGCGAGGGATCTCGTTGCCACGGAGGTCGTCGGTAGTATCTCCAGCCGCGATTTGACTTCTCGTTTTTGTAGTTTAACACTGTGCGCCGGGAGAGCATCGGTAAGCTATCCTCGTCGCCGTGGAAAGAGAAACGACGAAAAAAGAGACGGCGAACGACGAGAGGAAGGAGCGGAACGGCTACCGTGCGCGCATGGTAGCCACATGTTGCTCTCTGCGGATTCGCACACGAGGATCGTTACAGTCGAAGGGAAAAGGGCCGTCTCCAGCGGCGCGGCAACGAAATATGTATTGGCGCCGAGGTGTGCTGCAAGGTAGCACGATAAATTCTATCGGCGATATTATTACCGGCGATAAGCGTCGCCTTGGCAGCTTCGCGGCTGGCCGATTCGCTGTTGCGACCAAAGGCATCGCGGTGTACATCGTTTCGAAACAGGCTTTCCCTACGTCGATTTATCGAAAATATACTGTGGATGAAATGAAATTATTTTCCGGCTCGTTTGCTGTCGCGAAAAGGCGGAGACGATCTTTCTTTTAGGCTGTCGCTGTTTATAGGAAATTGAGAGGGGACGTTTAGAGCTGCGTATTCAACGGAATCTGCGTGAAACGATGTGAACATTTCTTACGAGATAGTCGACATTTTTAGGAAATTAAAAATCACGCTTTTCTGTTTCTCTCGTCCTCGCATCCTCGACAGAATTTGCGTGAGAAGGACAATTTCTAAGTCACCGTTTACGGGATATTAAAAATACACGATTTCCCAGTTCGTTCCTCGTCGCATTCCCGTTGCAATTGCGTGGAAAGCTAGCAACAATATTTCCAAAAGAATTGCTATCGTCAAAAGTATCGGCAACAGAACGGAACGAGCCTTTCCTCGTTATCGTCGCGTTTCACCCCCCACCACGCCGCCGCGAGCCCCGCCCACGAGGCGTCTCGGTCGACCGGAGACATTTCTGCAACGCGTGTTGACGAGGGAAAACTAATGTTTCACCGGCCACAGCGATGATTTTCCACGCCGGGAAAGGCTGCAGGAAACGGGAGCGCAGTCCGATCTGGTTCGCGTGACTTTCTTTTTGCCGTTGAATTCGCGCAATTAAAAGATAATCGCGGCGTTCGGTTGCGTAGAAGGCGAACGGCGGTACCGCGATCAACGGAAGCCGGCCGGGGTGAAAAAAGACGGTATTTTTCGCAGGATAAACGGCCAGAGCTCGATGATTGTTGCGATCTGTTTTAACGCCGGTCTCGCTCGCGATCCCAGAAAAGGGGCAGAAATAATATTCCCGAGCCGGCCCGGCGGCTTTATACGGCAACGAGTTCACGCTCGAAGGGTCCGCGAAAAAACGGGGAAAATTAATAATCGCGTTGCCTCTCCCCCCGCAGCGTCGCCGCGGCGCCCGGAAAAGCCGGTGAATGGTAATCGCCGGGCAAAAAGGAATTGTTCGCCGCGCGCGGTTCCCAGAGAGAATCACCGTCATCGCGCGCGCCGCCTGGTTAAATATTCTTACGACTTGTGGTAATTAGCATTTTCCGCGCGCGCGCGCGACGCGTAGAGACCAGCCCGCTAGGACGATACCGGCGTCTCGACTATGCGTCGAACGACTCGGCGATAATGCGAGCCACGGACAATATTGTTTTGCTGGGAACGTTCGATCGGAATCGTGTTCGTGTTGCGACCGTGGAGAATCCGCGCCGATCTGTCCGCTCGATCGAATGATTTATCGAAGATGTACAGTAAATTACAGTAATGTACGATTATTCGATCCTTCCGGCTCGCTTTTTATAGTTGTCGACAATCAGAGGCTATAAAAATCGGCGAGAATTTACCGTAATTCGCGAGCAATTTTTGCAATTTCATGTCGGACGAAATTCGAATTAATTCTCGGAGAACGATCGAATGTCCCAAGCCGGTATTTTGCACACGTGTTGATGCATATTTGTCGGAGCAGCAGAAATTTTGTCGAGAGGTTTTATCGAAAATTGTGGGAGTTATTAAGTCGAACAAAACGTCATCATTCTTGTGTACAAGCTGAGGGACAATTGGAGAGACTTTACTGCATCGCGCGACGAAACGAGGCTCTAACAACGATATTCTATAGTAGAAAATATTCGATAAAAATGCTAAAGGGTTCATGTATTCGTTTCGACCATATCAGATTCGTTAGTTTTAGTTTTAAATCGCTTAATCGTGAACTGCAGCCTGATCAGCAAAACACCGCCTTCAGCATCGGCCACGGTTCGCGACTTATCCGAACATTTTGAACCGTCTTAGACCCCGTATGTATTTCGCGCTGACAACTGAACGAAGTCTGCCGACTCCTTTAAAATTACGCTTCTTTGTTCGCCGCAACAAAAGGCATTCCCGTGGAGGTTACGAAATAAATGAAGAAAAATCCGGAGGAAGATAAAAAAAGAAATGCTTTATCTCGCAGGAAGCGTTCGATGAAAATCGCGGATGTTGCTGAAAGTACCTATTCACTGCTACACATAAAATCCGCGAGCGTAATCGCGATGCTGGATCGGTCGGAATAATTTTTCCCAGGACGGGATCCCGAGCGGCCCCGACGAATCGAGGCGCTCGGTGAAAACGATTTTTCTCAGGAGCCGAAAGAATGGCGTGCACCGCGGGCTCTCGGATCGCCGACAAGAAGGAATGCGAGGAAGAAAGAAGAGGACGTGGAAAGAATCAACACGCCGTAGATCTTGTCGAGAATGCAAACGCATTTACATAACTAGTTCGGCAGATCGGCGGCTCTACGCGCGCGCGCGCGCGCCTCTCTATCCTCGTTTCTTTTTGTGTACCGATGATTGGCAGTTCCGAGTGCGCCGTAGTGGGAATCGGTCAGGAATTAATTGGTGCGCCTAATGCGGTCGCGACTCCGCGACTCGAACAAGGGGGACGGACGACTAGGCGGAGAACAAAAGGGAGAGCTCGACTCGCCGGCTCGACGACCTGCTGAACGCGCACCGCACGGCACCGCACGGCCGGCGATCGCGAACACACCGGCCAGGCCATCCGTGAAACTTATCGAAGCAGATCTCCGACTGCGGATACTCGAACGCTGCGCGATTTTCTGCTATTCCGCCGCCGAGTTCGCACGGTGTTCGCCGGCGGGGACCGTTCGCGTTCGCGTTTCGAAAGCCGTGTACGAACACCGATTCTCGGGCCGCGCCGTGGCCGTACGATCGTTGACGGATCCATCTGTCTCTCTGGACTCGGGAGAGGGTACGATGGGTCTGCGGTTGCACGCACCTCGAGCGTTCCCACAATCCGCGAGCGAGCGCGGCCACGGAAAAGTCGTCGTGCGAGTTCGGTGCCTAGACGGGGCCCCCGGAGCTACAAGACGACACCGATCGAGAATCGAGAACCCGATACACTGGACACCGAAGAATGCCCGAGAGAAACCCTTCTGGCGTTTGCCCGGGCACCGGCTTCCATGCCGGTGGCATCTTCCACCCGCCAAATATGTTCTACAGTGAATTCTCTCTCCAATCGGATAGCACGCAAAAATGGAGAATTTGAGGAGAGGAGATAACTATATAACAATCGATAACTACAAAAACGAGCCGCGAGACAATCGTGTCACTTCTCCCCAAATTGTCCATTCTTCTGCACAATCTGAGCGTCGATTAGGGGGAATCGTTTACAAACGAAGGGGAACATTTCGGTAACGAGATCGATCGCCTTCGGATTGGTTGACGGAAAAAGTGATACAGTAATGTCTCCCTTACTGACGCTCAGATTGTCCACTAAAATGGATATTTTGGAAGAGGAGATATAAGCCTTGCGGCTCGTTGTTATAATTGTGGACAATTTATAACTATGAAAATAAACCGCAAGGTTCGAATAATCGTATCTCCTCTTCTTAAATTGTCCATTTTTGTGGACAATCTGGGCGTCAATTAGAGAGACATTACTGTAGATTGAAATTGGCAGAACAATTGAAAATAATAGTAATAGTGAATTGGTAAAACAATAGAGAGATCGGTAGATTGAAAACTGATCTTAATCGTCTTCTAATTGTCCTATTTCATTTTTTTTTAATCTTATAATTCTTCTAATTGTCTTATTTCATTTTCATTCGTGACCTAAATTAACGTTCTCCGGATTTTCCGAAGTCGGAACTTAGGGAACCAAGGTCGACGACCGTTCGATCAGCGTTGCGGACTTCATTGAAAACGAAGGATCACGAAGAGCGAGTGAAAACAGTGAGAGTCGAAGCAATCGTTTCACCGCGGATCAATCAGCTTTCACGATACGCGTTATTTAGCATACGCGAAACGCGGCTTCGCGATTTGTCTATTTTCAGCGCGTTTCCGTAAGATCGCCGGCCGATCGATGGATATTCATGCAAAATAAAAATGTTTCGACGACGCTAAACAGATTAAAACGATGCATTTTTTCTATCTTAATAATTTCCACAACGTGAAGAGAAGTCGGCGATGTTCTTCAATTTTTCCGAACTTGTTTACGCTTTGGTGTTTTATCTAATCGGCGCGTTATCACGTGCACAATAAAATTCGCGGTTTACACCATGAATCAACAACCGCCGTGTAATAAATTTTCCTACCGAGTACGCAACCCTCCCGAACTCTTATTCCGACTCGTAGGACAAGAAACGAATTTCGCTTGCACAGGGGTCCAGCGATTCTCTCGGCGGAACGCGCTCGGAATATCGAAAATTGCGAAAGGATTCCGATTTCCTGATTTTTACCTCGTAAGTAGAATCGCGTCGCGTCGCGAGGTCTCCCTCGGCCACTTATCGTGCCACTGAAAGCTTCTCGGTACTTCGAGGGTGGCCCCTTATCTGCCCGGTAAGACGCGTACCATCCGTGGATGACTGTCGTAACTGGACTGCTTGTTCCCGAGAGGCTTGGCAGACGTCGCCTGACCCTAGAGCCACGATGGTAGCGCATTTACAAAGGGGCTATTTACATTCCGCTTGGACGGGAATGTATCGGCAATCAAAAGAATCACTTTTACCGTTCGCCAAAGTGGAAACACGCGGCCTGTGTTCCGATCGGTCGATGCTGTCCCGCGCACGAACCGCCGCTTTTATCGGGCCGGCCGAACGTCTCGGCGATCGAGCTAACGCTTTAATTGGATTCGCTAATTAGCCCGGATTTCCTGCTCGCAAATGGTTCGCTGGTCGTTACGTAAATCGGCGACGTTGGCGCAAGGACGCGCGCGCGCGCCGTTATTGGGAGAAATCGTGAGCCGTCATCTTCATCCTCGTTGAGACGATCCTCCTCCAATTTGTTGCAGCTTCGTCCTCTAAAAAGATAACACTAAATAACATAATCGAATAAAATAACTAAATAACGTAACTAAAATTCCTGTATTTTCTATATCGAACCATCAGGCTCGAAGCATCGATAAATAAATAAACGCCTGGTAGGAAATCTTGACACTTTTACCGCCGCGCGAACGACCTAAAAAGAATTCGTAAAATTATAATCGAGAAGTTAAGCTTGTATAACACCAATTACTGCTTCAACATTCTTACGTTTCGCGGATTCTAACAAGATTCGAAATCCGAGCGAATGCTGCTTCCATCCGAATATGCCAATCAAATTGTTTAAAGGACCACGGATGCTATTAAGGCTATCTGGCATCTCTCTAGCTCGACGATAGCTTGGTCCCATAGAATTCCTCTTGCTGGATTACCGAGAGTCTAGAGTTGGAAAATGAGACGAATAAATTGCTATAGAACGGATAGCTGTCGAACGATAGCACTCGAGCACTCCAGTCGTCGTCGTCGTTGTCGTCGTCCTCGCGTAGAAGCAGCAAAGTGACGCGAGGAACGCGCGGAATGCAACGGGGTCCCGTGGCCATGGCGAGCCGTCGATCGTGCCAAATACCTTCGACGCTGGATCCTTCCGATCGTCCGTCATCGCCGAGCTCAGCCGGCCGGCATTCGAAGATCGTCGGCGCCGAAAATGCGCCGGACGCTCGACATTTCGACTGGTCTGCGACCTCGCGGCCGATACTCCTCTCGGTACACTTTGCCATCGATAGACTCAACCTTGAACCACGCTGACGAAAGAGACAGTAGACATCAGCCCTTTTGCACCGGATTGTCCCTTCTAAGAGATCGTCGCGAAGTAGTCGAACATTCTTCTAAGGCAAAAAGATATCCCGTGGAAACCAGATGGCTGGATTACTCTTGACCGTACGCTGCCAATTAATCTCGGGCCGGCTCGATCGTGGGGCCAGCGTGCGAACGCGGATACCGGTTCCGAGTTAACAATGGAATCGCCCATTCACCGAGCACATTTCGAGGATCGGGCAACGGTACAGCGTTAAAGGCCGGTCCACGTTGAGCACCGGTAGTCATCCTTACGTCCTCTTCACTCGATCCTGATCGCCCAACGCGAACCTGAAAGCATCGTTCGTTCATTATTCTCCAAATTCAATGTTTCCTCGGTAGCGTCGCACTTTAGTCTCACCTCAAGTACCCAGGGACCAATGGCAGTCGTCTGTTTCCACTGTATGAAGCGTCGTTGCTTCGTCGTCCAATAGAAAACAGCGTCCACTGCTCCGTAACATCTCCTTGCGCTTCGAAGTCACGAAATCTCTGTCTACGATGATCGATCCTTCAGTTGACGCAAAGCGAGGGCTGCTTATTTTTGGCTCGATCAATCTTGAAGTCAGTCAAGTAGACTGTGCCCATTGCTGGTCTTGCGTTTTCCTTAATTTCAGCTTTCCTCGGTAGCGTCGCGCTTCGACTCCGCCCACCGGGGTCCAGAGACTTGTAACCCTCGTCTGGCCCCGCCCACAATGCGTCTCCTCTTCTAAATTCAATCTTAAAACGTCGTCCGCTGTATTTTATCATTTGCCGATGCTCTCGGAGCGGAGAAAACCGTATCCACGATTCAAGCGACCCTCGATTTTCTCGAGGATGCGCGATGTGAGGGCCGCCTAAGTCGTCTCGCTCGGTCAATCTCGAAGGCAGTCAGGCAGGTGCACAGCGCTTGTCCCGGTTTCATCGTACAGGCGAGAGTACGCGCGCTGAGCCGCGCGTATCGCGTTTCAAACAACAATAAACGCTTCGTGTTTCGCGAGCCTGGATCTTGGCTGTGTTAATTGGCGTCCCGGTCTCTCGCGAAGACGGCCAAGCGGGCTGACGCGAAAATCGCGATACGATACGTACAGGGTGTCCCGAAAATGTCCGCAGTGCGGAAACGGGGGTTGCTGAGGTGATTTGAAGTAACTTTTTCCTTGGCGAAATTGCGATTCGCGGCTTCGTTTGCGAGTTATTAACGAAAAACAGTGGCCAATGGGGGGCGAGCTCGGCTGACGCCCCGCCCTCGTGACCACTGCCGCTGCGTCAGACTGCCAACGCGAAGCCCGCTCATTGGCTAGGCCATCTCGCGCCAGCCGTGCTCACCTCTCATTGGTCAGTGTTTTTCGTTAATAACTCGTAAACGAAGCCGCGGATTGAATTTTCGCCGAGAAGAAAGTTACTTCAAATGACCTCAGGAATCTCGCATTTCCGAATCGCGAGGCATTTTTGGGACATCCTGTATATCTCTCGGTAACGTCGCGTTGTCGACCGCCGGGAAAAGTGGGAGCGTCGCGACGACGAAGAGCCCGGCCACTCTGTCAAATGAATGGAAACGCGCGGCGGGCTACCAAAGCCCCGGGGACGAGTGCCGGGAGCGTAGGTGTGACTGGGAAGGGCTGCGCGATACTAATTAGATGCCCTACTTCGCGGCCGTGTGTCGGCACCGAGTTCATTTCTGCTTATCATGCGGCGGGAGCGATTAGTCTAGCCGCTAACCACGTAGAGACGGAGCGTACAGCTGGCTCGACGACACTCGCTCGCAGACACATTTGCCCTGAAGTGGATGGGATTGCCCCGGGGCCAATGTTCTGGCCATGCCAGAAGCGGGAGGTTGTTAGTCATTTTGGATTCTGAATTTTCTGACGGGCTCTACCGTGTCCGCTATTTCGTTATGTTTTACCTTCGACGCGAGCTACACGCCGAGGTGCTCGCTTAGGTAGTTGCCTTTTAAGGCACTGAATCTTCTGGGATGCTAATGTTTGGTGAAATTAGGTCACACATGGGTGACAATCATTTTTTACCAGTCCTCGATACGATTAGAATGCGAAAGAGTTCGAATACCGTCAANGCACAGCGCTTGTCCCGGTTTCATCGTACAGGCGAGAGTACGCGCGCTGAGCCGCGCGTATCGCGTTTCAAACAACAATAAACGCTTCGTGTTTCGCGAGCCTGGATCTTGGCTGTGTTAATTGGCGTCCCGGTCTCTCGCGAAGACGGCCAAGCGGGCTGACGCGAAAATCGCGATACGATACGTACAGGGTGTCCCGAAAATGTCCGCAGTGCGGAAACGGGGGTTGCTGAGGTGATTTGAAGTAACTTTTTCCTTGGCGAAATTGCGATTCGCGGCTTCGTTTGCGAGTTATTAACGAAAAACAGTGGCCAATGGGGGGCGAGCTCGGCTGACGCCCCGCCCTCGTGACCACTGCCGCTGCGTCAGACTGCCAACGCGAAGCCCGCTCATTGGCTAGGCCATCTCGCGCCAGCCGTGCTCACCTCTCATTGGTCAGTGTTTTTCGTTAATAACTCGTAAACGAAGCCGCGGATTGAATTTTCGCCGAGAAGAAAGTTACTTCAAATGACCTCAGGAATCTCGCATTTCCGAATCGCGAGGCATTTTTGGGACATCCTGTATATCTCTCGGTAACGTCGCGTTGTCGACCGCCGGGAAAAGTGGGAGCGTCGCGACGACGAAGAGCCCGGCCACTCTGTCAAATGAATGGAAACGCGCGGCGGGCTACCAAAGCCCCGGGGACGAGTGCCGGGAGCGTAGGTGTGACTGGGAAGGGCTGCGCGATACTAATTAGATGCCCTACTTCGCGGCCGTGTGTCGGCACCGAGTTCATTTCTGCTTATCATGCGGCGGGAGCGATTAGTCTAGCCGCTAACCACGTAGAGACGGAGCGTACAGCTGGCTCGACGACACTCGCTCGCAGACACATTTGCCCTGAAGTGGATGGGATTGCCCCGGGGCCAATGTTCTGGCCATGCCAGAAGCGGGAGGTTGTTAGTCATTTTGGATTCTGAATTTTCTGACGGGCTCTACCGTGTCCGCTATTTCGTTATGTTTTACCTTCGACGCGAGCTACACGCCGAGGTGCTCGCTTAGGTAGTTGCCTTTTAAGGCACTGAATCTTCTGGGATGCTAATGTTTGGTGAAATTAGGTCACACATGGGTGACAATCATTTTTTACCAGTCCTCGATACGATTAGAATGCGAAAGAGTTCGAATACCGTCAACCATGACTTTTCATTTTTTCTAGTTTCGTCGACCTTCAGAGAACCGGACAACCAATATATTAGCTTTGACGTGTCAGTAGTTTTATCGTAGATCACACATACACGTGCAATCATGTTTGCAATAAAACTACCGACTTGTACGAGGAAATTTGCAGGCCCCCCGCGGGTTAATTAAATCGTCTCGATCGATTTGCAATTTTTATGGTCGATTTTCGGCCATATTTTTCGTTGGGGTTTCGAGGAGCTGTTTTTGCTGTTTGGACATGAAAGACAAGTGACAGTACACGAAGTAAGCGCTGACCTTTGTTGCAGAATGAAGAGATGATCGCGAGCCTGCCGATACACAGTGGCGGCAGCGGCGGGCCCAGCAGCCGCGTGGGTCGGGGCCTGGCCCTTCACAGGTCCAACTCCAGCCTGGAACTTCCGCACAGCCCGGACCCTGGGTCCCGAGTGGCAGAGGCTCCCCTGAGGAGGGAGTATGGGTCGCACGGTAAGTAAGTCACATCGGCCGAAGACAGCTGTCGATTACAAGACCATATAATCTCTCTTTCTCTCTTTTCTCTCGTCCGCGTATCTCGACCGTCCCTTTTTCTCTAACGTCTCTTATCGGCTTGACCGTCTTTTCCGTCTCCCGCAGGCAGCATCGACGCAGTGGCGCAGTCCGTGACGGTCGGCGAGAACTTGTTCGCGATGTTGCAGGAGCTACGACCATCCGCTTCCGATCAGCGGAACTCTGTCGGCGTCGACTATCTGAGACGCGTGCCGGATGGACAAACGGTGGACGCTGACGAGGTCTGCGGCCCGGCCGGCGGCTCCAGTCCGAAGTTAAGGCTGAAACTGAACAGATTGTGGGGCGCTAAACCGCCCCGGGCCATGGAGGAGACCTGCACCAGCCCGGTGGTGTCCGCAGACGTTGAAGAGAGGCACAGGCGCAGGGCGTTCGCTCACTACGATTGTCAATCGTTGACTGCGAACCTGGGATACGCGGCTAAGCTTAGGGGCATATTGCTAGCTCGGAGAAGAAACACTGCGACCGGCGCATCCGCTGCCAGCTCCTTCAGGGCGTCCACTCCGGACGAGACGCCCGAAGAGGACGCCGGTGATGGAAAAGGTATGGTTTTCGAAAAGAGAGTATATAGAATTCCGTTGCTTGTCTTATTTCTTCTATGCGGTACCATTAGCTAATCGGTGTTGAAGAATGCCTTATCTATCTAAACTCGGAGAATAGGTAGCTGCACTCGGTGGCATTTAGCTCGAGCCACTCCAGCAGTCTTCAGTTTTTAAGACACGTTTCTGTCGCCTACAAAGAAGGTCGTTCTCCAAGTCACCAAAAGAGTTCCGATGATTGCAGGTAACGACCTCCTGGAGTCGTGTCCCTTCTTCCGGAATGAGATCGGCGGCGAGGGTGAGCGGGAAGTGAGCCTGACTCGTTGCTCCCAAGGCAATGGAGTTCATCGACCTCCTCTGTCCTACGGGGTGGCGGTTTTAGAGCCGCCAGCAGGGGAGACACTATGGAAGCACAGCTGCCCGTTGCAGAAGAGGCCACTGCCCATCGAGAGCGTCGACGAGGGCGCGCATTACTACCGAAGATATTTTTTGGGTAAGTCAAAGAACGGTCTAACTCGTGTGATAATGCCTTGCGGCGGTCGCCGATCCAAGAATTGCGTTTCAATTACACTTTCGATATCACCTCGAACCTTCGATCTTAGGTCGGGAGCACCAGAACTGGTTCGGCATGGACGAGCAGCTAGGTCCGGTGGCCATCAGCATCAGGAAGGACGTGAATCAGTACAGGATAATCGTGCGTACGTCGGAGCTGTTGACTCTTCGTGGCTCCGTGCCCGAAGAGGCTCTTGGTATCAGGCCACAGGGTAACCGACTGCCGACGAGGGAGCTTTTGGAGCTGGTAGCACCGGAAGTGCAGCTCGGATGTTTGAGGCTGGGCACCACCGTTGCCGAGGAGTCCGTCGCCAGATTGGACGAACAAGGGCTCTCCAGCAGGTACAAGGTCGGCGTGCTGTACTGCAGGTCGGGCCAGAGGACCGAGGAGGAGATGTACAACAACCAGCATGCTGGTCCCGCGTTCCTCGAGTTCCTCGACACCATCGGTGAGCAATTGATCCTCCCACTTGTTCCTTGCCGACCTGACCTAGAAAATATATCCGTTTAAACTTAGAGGATTCGAACGTTCTATAAACAATTGATCGGTCACTTTTCCTCTTGTCCTTAACGCATTTCCTCTTGGCGTAAGTGGTCACGGAGACCTTGAAACTCGTGGCACGAAGTTCGCGACGAAGATCAAATTGTAACGAAAAGATCCTGTGTCGCAGGCCAAAGAATAAGACTGCGGGGATTCGAGGGTTACAAGGCAGGGCTGGACACGAGGACAGATTCGACGGGCACGCACGCGGTCGCAGCGACGCATCGGGGAGCGGAAGTGACGTTCCACGTGTCCACGATGTTACCGTTCACGCCGAATAACAGGCAACAGCTGCTCAGGAAGAGGCACATCGGAAACGACATCGTCACGATTGTGTTCCAGGTAAGCGGACAATGGGGCACGCGATGATTTCGGTCACGGTCCGAGTGCCTCCGTTCATAGCCCGTTTCCTCGATACTCGATATTCGCTCGATGAACGCGAAACTCTTGTTCAGGAACCGGGAGCGTTGCCGTTCAGCCCGCGCAGGATACGCTCGCAGTTCCAGCACGTGTTCATCGTGGTCAGAGCGATCAATCCCTGCTCCGAGAATACTCAGTACAGCGTGGCCGTGTCGAGGAGCAAGGAGGTGCCTATTTTCGGACCTCCGGTGCCGGCCGGTGCCACCTTCGCCAAGGGAAAAGCGTTCGCAGACTTCATACTGGCGAAAGTGATCAACGCTGAGAACGCGGCACACAGGTTGGCCGACTCCCTCTCCCCCCCTCTCTCTCTCCCTCTGTCTCTTTCTTTGTTTCCGGTGAAAGATGATTACGAGGTACAATGACGATCTGTCGTAGGTCGGAGAAATTCGCCACGATGGCGACCAGAACCAGACAGGAGTACCTGAAGGATCTGGCTACAAACTATTCATCGACAACGGTGGTCGACACTGGACAGAAGTTCTGTGAGTGTCGCCTTCACAAAAGATTCCCAAAACGAGATCGACTCCTATTTATCATTTCAAATTGCAGTAAATTCTCCCTAATTGACGCTGATTGTTCACCTTTCTTTCTAAGCTGAGCTTTCTTCAATTAGAGAGAATTTACTGCATTCCCAAAATCCATATCAAACACCGATCCACGTCAACGTTGACGATGATTGCTTGCTTCCTTGGCGCAGCGATGCTGTCGTTCAGCAGCAAGAAGAAGGCAGCAGTGAGGCCAAGACTGTCCTGCGACGCTTCCCAACGCGGGGCGATCTGCTGGCAGGTGATCCTAGAGGACAGCAACCAGAACACGGACTGCTACCTGGGGATCAGCGTGGACACGATCGTCCTGATAGAGGAACACTCCAGACAGATAGTCTTCGTGGCTCCATGCGCCAGCGTGTTGGGCTGGCACGCGCAGACCAACAGGTATAACCAAAATAACCTTGTACCTTCGCGACAAATATTCCTTGATATCACCGATCTGGCTATCAATGGTTGATCAAAGATTCCGGTGGAGTGCCATAAAATCGGTTTGTTCTTCGCAGCCTGAGACTCTACTACCACCAAGGCGAGTGCATCACGATCCACGTCCGCGGCGATTACGGCGAAAGGGACGAGCTGATGGAGATAGTGGCCCGTCTGCGAGCCGTGACTCAAGGGGCGCCTGCCACCGAGTTGTCCCTGAAGAGAAACAGCCTTGGTCAGTTGGGTTTCCACGTGCAGCCCGACGGTGTGGTGACGCAAGTGGAGAGCATGGGACTGTCCTGGCAAGCAGGTCTGAGACAAGGTTCCCGGCTGGTGGAGATCTGCAAGGTGGCCGTGTCCACGTTGAGCCACGACCAGATGGTGGACCTGTTGAAGACCAGCGCGCAGGTGACGGTCACAGTGATACCGCCCGGGAACGACGGTAATCCCAGGAGGTGAGCGATTTAGGATAGCTCGTAGATCAGGAGGCGAACGTTCTCGAGGTATATAACTCGTTTCTTAATCGCAGAGGTTGCTCGCTGCAAAATTGCCAGTACCTGTCGAGCAACTACGAGGGAGATTACGAGAACGTGACTAGTCCGGACAACACGCCTACTCAGCAGACAGCCATGTCTGCTCATCAGAGGCGGTACGAGCCCCGTTCGTTTAGCCCACCAAGATCTAGTAATAGTTCTGGGTATGGAACTGGGTCTAGCTCGAGATCGTTTAATGATCCTAGGTTCCCGTTGGAGGGCACGATGACCAGCAGCAGCAGCGGCCACAGTAGCACCGACGATCGATGGTACGACCTCGTAAAATCACATTCGTCCGATCGATCGAACTTATTACACGAATCGATTAGAACTATCCGCCTGGTAAACGCGGGACCGTTAAATCTGATCAGAAATATCGTCGCGCAGGTACGAGCTGCTGGAGCCGCAGGATCAGGAAAACGGACACCGGACAGACGGCACGCCGCCTCCACCGCTGCCCGCACGACAGAACTACCAAGTGCTGGCGGGGAAGTCCTCGCAGAAACGGGAGAAGGAGTCCCACTACGCCAGCACGAAACAGTTCGCGGAGAACTCGAACTACGCTTCGACGAGGGCTCTGCAGGAGAGTCTGAGGCACGAGAACTATCAGAAACAACAGCTGGACCATGCGCACAGGGGCCAGGAGCAGCACCATCACGTTCCCTCGAGCTACGTGAAGCTCCAGAAGGAGAAGTACGAGATCAAGCAGGAGAACCTGTACGCTTCTCAGCGGGAGCTGCACAAGAACGATGCTCATCATCGCGGTGTGCCGCATCCGAAGCTGAGCGCGTCGAACTCGCTGCCTCTGACCCAGAACGCGACCTACAGTCTGCCGAAGTCCAGCAGCAACAACAATCTGGGCAGGTACAGCGACTACGAGCAGCCGAGCAAGTACGAGTACGATGGCAAGCTGGCGGACCGGTGCTCGAAGTACGAGCCGCAGGAGGAGAACAGGGTGACCGGGAAGTACGAGGAGACCTACGAAAGGCGGAACAGCAAGTACGACATGGACGTGACCGGTAAATACGACATGATCGAGTGCCAGCACGCCGGCAACGAGAGGAAACAACACCTGGACGCCGAGCAGAACTGCGAGTCGATCAGGTACGAGATACCGCACGAGTTTAAGGTCGGCGAGAAGGTTACCTGTCTGAAGACCACCATCTCCGAACGGCCGGTGCCCCACAAGATAAACGTGGAGTATCGGCAGACCAAGGAGTTCGCTGCCAGCTTGCCGCCGGAAGTCCGCATTTCGGATCCGAATTGTCCCGAGCCGACCGCGTTGCAGAGCGAGGACGAGCTGTCCACCGGTTCCGGGAGCCTTTCGCCTAGGCTGAGGAGGGCCAACAAACACCGGGCCGGGAACCTGACTCCTTCCAGCGGCAGCTCCAGGAACCAGAGCCCGAGGCCGAAGCCTGGCATCAGGAACTCCCACAGGAACTCCGCCAACCTGACCTCCAGCACCCTGCAAGAGGACCTGATGAAGCTGATCAATCCCGATTACATCGCCGATGACAGTCAGTTGACGAATAACAACGTAAACGCCCTGATCGCGCAGACCCCTAGCAAGACGCTGAACAACAATATGCTGGAGTTCCAGAACAAGTGCAGGTCCCGGGAGAATCTGTGCGGCAACAGCGCGACAACGTTGACCGTTCTGCCAGCGAATGGACAGGAGAATGGGAATGGCAACGGAAACGGGAACGGCAATGGGAACGGGAACGCGAACGGGAACGGGTCGGAGGTCATTCTGACGATGGCGAGGCCGGCTACCGTCATTTCGAACGCCAGCACCGCGTCCAGCCCCGCGCCCAGCGAGAACAAGCTGACCAAGGAGGAGAGGTATGGATCCTCGCAGCTATTCTAGAATCATCGGAGACTGTCGACCGTTCGAAGCCGGAGCCCGTTTTAACTCGAAATCATCTAAAATAGATCCGACACTGGAAGCGCGACGCTAATATTCTGCTACCGTGATCTAAAACACGAGCGATGCAACGGTTACACTTTTAACAGGCTTCTTGTTTCAATATAAAGAAAGATAATGTAACAATTAGCTTGGGACCTTGTATAGCGATTTTGTACAGCACCTCGGAGTCGCTGCGAACAGTGGAAAAAGAATTGCAGGCTATTAATTCGGTGAATTTTCAGACTGTCGCCACGCGTGACGAAGCCGTCGCACGCGATGTCGAAGTCGCCGAGCAATTTAACGTCGATCAAGGACCCGAAGGGTCTGAACGACGCCGAGATCGACTGCTGGAAGGGCCATCATGTGGACTCCAGATCCATCCAGCATCCCCAAGAGTGGCCGGACGAGAGGCTGATCGACAGATGTGGAGCAATCGCGTAAGTTCTCGCGAAGAGATCACCGTGGAATTTTGATTTCATTCTTCGTGATTCGTTCTTCTCGCTGGTAATCGCTGTTCCTATCTGTTGACACTGTGATGTATGATCGTTTCAGAAACTCGGTGACGGACCTGCAGTCCCATTTGTCCACCCTCGAGCTCAGGGTAGCCAGAGAGACGAGACGCAGGCTCTCGTTGGAGGACGAGGTGCGTCGGCTTAGGGGCGAGAACCGTCGACTGCAGGACGAGAGCCACGCAGCTGCGCAGCAACTACGACGATTCACCGAATGGTTTTTCCAAACAATAGACCATCAGTGACCTGCGCCTTCGGTCGATTTGGCATTTTAATTCCACGATTCGTACTACAATGACCAGTGCCGCTTGCGCGGCCAACGTTCGTCCGACGTTCATCGGTTTCTTCAATCACGCGTCGAACGTTCGTAAGCTACCACGTTGAGCATATTTTTGTCTCGTCGATGGAAGCTGCCATGGCAGCTCGTTGTTCCTTCTTTCCAGCCAAAGAATTCGTCACGATTTCGCAAATTTTCGAACTCTCTTTCCAATGGGGCACACGTTCAGAGATTTCGCGGAGGATTCACAGAGACTGTGCAACCCTTCCGTGTAAATTGAAAGCTGTGCTCGAAAGAAATTGCTTGATTGTCGCTGCGGTCTTCAACGATGATACCAAGCGGAGCTTCGAGATCGTTGAAGAAGCAGTTTCTGCGGATAGTTTTCGAACGTTGCAGTTGAAAAAGACCGATGAAATATTGGACGAACATCGCCGACAGTGGACGCCTATTCATGGGGGGAGGTCACCAGTGTGCGGCATCGTTTCTAGATCGTTTTGTAATAAGAGCAGTATTAGTTTCGCGCGTTTCCTCGATAATCGTCCGCGATAGAGATTAAGTCACGAATCAAAGGTAATTTAACGTAACTGCGAACGATTCTCGCGAGCCCGCCGAAAGATGCGCGCGCTAACCCGGCAGACCACGATGACAGATGACCTCGAAGAACAGGATTCTGGGATTATGATATGCGGTTAGCGTGCAGTGGAAGTTACCACCTTGCCGTGTTCCGCGCGAATATTTTTTTCTGAAAATACAGAGAACAAATGGTACCAGAGACACCTGTGTTCGACGCGTAGTCCAGCAAGACGGGACGAGCTCGATTCCGTTGACGAATGCACGTTTCATAGATTATATAAATATATAAATCTCTCTCTCTATATATATATATACATATATAAATATATAAATATAAATATGCCGTCTACACTTCGAAACGACCAAATATTATTACTAGTTGCGTAAGAGTCACTTCGGGTTCGACTGTAATTTATTTACAAATTTTTGTATGATCGTCCGGGGCGTCGCGGCTCGGCCCGGAAAAGAAAAACCGCCGATTGTCATCATCCGCGGTGCGGAAACCGCGCCGCGATTCACGCTGGCATAGTACGAAGACGTTGTCCGTCGAAGAGAAGCTCTGTAGCCTGAAAACAATAAAGAGAGAAATGCACATACGAGAGAACGGTAACGTTGATTTCATTCGATCGCGATGCGCGCTTGTTAACACGGATCGCTGAATGATCGACGGGGGCGACGGAACGACGGGGGGAGGGGGGCGGAACGAGGACGCGGACGTTGGAAATGAACGCTGGTGTGGCGACGAGCGTAGAATAAAATAGTTTATTATAATCCACAGGAAAGAAAACAAGACATTTCCATGACGTCCAAAGACTCGCCGCTGCGTGTGTGTCGATTAACAATAGCTGTGATTATACATCGTTTTTTTTCTTTTTTTTTCCTTCTTCTTTTCGTTTTGTTCATCTCTCATTGTCCGAGACCAACGGAAACGCGAATTCGTGTATCATGTCAGAACGTCGAGGTGAGCAATACAGTGTACTCGATCAATGTTAGACTACGAAAGAAAGTTTCTTCTTCTTCTTTTTATTAGTTATTTTTTTTTCGTTTGTTTATTTCTTTACGATAATCCGCTTTTTAAATAGCGCGTAACAGATTCTGTGTTCATGTATCCGTCCGTGCGCGCGCGCGCGGTCGTGCGAACGGATAGATACATTGACAAATATATATATATATATATATATATATATATATATATATATATATATATATATATATTTGTTTTTTAATATATATGTATATGTTATATGTATATGAATTATGTATATCGGAATACCCGTCTGAACGGAAAAACCTGGAACCGCTCTCACACAATACCACACACCGCCCACGACAGCGAGGAGCGACCAACGATCATCGATCGTCATCGTCGTCATCATCGTCACGATTATCTCTCGATCATCGTCTCGCACCTCGTTGTCCCGCATGGCCGCTGAACAACGCCGCAAACACTCCGTCCCGTATACGAAGCTCGTACGATCCCTGGCGTTCCTTATTATTTTATTATTTATAGTCGCCCTTATTATCTTCCTCCGAACCATCTATTATTTTCCCTGCGCGAATCTACTACCCCCGTGCCATCGCTGGATTTTTGGTAGACCGCGGATCTTTGCGCATTTGGATCGTCCGGTGCTTTCGCTGGCCAAAGATTAACAACAGCGGTTCACCAAAGCTCGTTCAAAAACTTATTAACACTTCGAGCATATCGCACGCGTCCGTCAGAAACAATTCAATTTTTGTTCGATCGATAAATTGTTTTGATTTTACGAAACTATTACGAATGAGACATAAAATCAGAACAATCTATTTCACGGTACAGACTTCAATCTGCTTCGTCCCTCGCGATCCTGAGCGCGTTCCCTCTGCCTTCTAGTACAGAATTTCTTTAACAGTACTTTAACAGCTATTTAGTACAGTTTTGAAATGCTATAATCGAATGCTGTAATCACCAAACTGCGGCGTTTGCTCGTTAATAGATCGCGGATTTTGCGCATTTTATGGCAAGAATGAATAGATCAAATGCAAAACAGTAAAAATCTTCGAAGAAACCGAAGATACTTCTAACTTATTAAGCAACTTATCAAAATTGCCAAGGACAAGAAATACATTTCTACGCAGCTACTGTATTTTGCAGTCAATGCTACCAGTGTTTATTCTGCATAAAAATCCGCCGTCTACTCGCGAGAGTACAGTCTACGTCAACAAGACAATAACTCGAAAGTCAATAGAACCACAAATACTTGCTACATTGTAATAGAAATTGACTCGAGTTTAAAAGAATGGTAACAATCCTAATCGACCAGCGCAGCGGTCAAAGTGTTAACAAGTCTCGAATAGCAGCCCCTCGAAATCCGTTTAAACGTTTAAAAATTTGCGCAAACATCCGCGGCCGTACGTTAGATCTACCGAAATCCGGACAACTAGTTTCCCGAAGCAGATCCGCGAGGAGACGACGTCCAGTGATCGCCGAGATCGCGAGATTCCGAGACCGATTTTGTCGGTGGTTCGGCCTCGTCCTTTAAGTACATGAAAAGGTATAGAATTATCGATTGTAGGAGCGTATCGTGTTCTTACGATTCGATGTAAGTTCACGGTTAGTAACGTAGCGTGCTCTCTCTCTCTTTCTTTCTATCACTCTCTCTCNGAGCGTAGAATAAAATAGTTTATTATAATCCACAGGAAAGAAAACAAGACATTTCCATGACGTCCAAAGACTCGCCGCTGCGTGTGTGTCGATTAACAATAGCTGTGATTATACATCGTTTTTTTTCTTTTTTTTTCCTTCTTCTTTTCGTTTTGTTCATCTCTCATTGTCCGAGACCAACGGAAACGCGAATTCGTGTATCATGTCAGAACGTCGAGGTGAGCAATACAGTGTACTCGATCAATGTTAGACTACGAAAGAAAGTTTCTTCTTCTTCTTTTTATTAGTTATTTTTTTTTCGTTTGTTTATTTCTTTACGATAATCCGCTTTTTAAATAGCGCGTAACAGATTCTGTGTTCATGTATCCGTCCGTGCGCGCGCGCGCGGTCGTGCGAACGGATAGATACATTGACAAATATATATATATATATATATATATATATATATATATATATTTGTTTTTTAATATATATGTATATGTTATATGTATATGAATTATGTATATCGGAATACCCGTCTGAACGGAAAAACCTGGAACCGCTCTCACACAATACCACACACCGCCCACGACAGCGAGGAGCGACCAACGATCATCGATCGTCATCGTCGTCATCATCGTCACGATTATCTCTCGATCATCGTCTCGCACCTCGTTGTCCCGCATGGCCGCTGAACAACGCCGCAAACACTCCGTCCCGTATACGAAGCTCGTACGATCCCTGGCGTTCCTTATTATTTTATTATTTATAGTCGCCCTTATTATCTTCCTCCGAACCATCTATTATTTTCCCTGCGCGAATCTACTACCCCCGTGCCATCGCTGGATTTTTGGTAGACCGCGGATCTTTGCGCATTTGGATCGTCCGGTGCTTTCGCTGGCCAAAGATTAACAACAGCGGTTCACCAAAGCTCGTTCAAAAACTTATTAACACTTCGAGCATATCGCACGCGTCCGTCAGAAACAATTCAATTTTTGTTCGATCGATAAATTGTTTTGATTTTACGAAACTATTACGAATGAGACATAAAATCAGAACAATCTATTTCACGGTACAGACTTCAATCTGCTTCGTCCCTCGCGATCCTGAGCGCGTTCCCTCTGCCTTCTAGTACAGAATTTCTTTAACAGTACTTTAACAGCTATTTAGTACAGTTTTGAAATGCTATAATCGAATGCTGTAATCACCAAACTGCGGCGTTTGCTCGTTAATAGATCGCGGATTTTGCGCATTTTATGGCAAGAATGAATAGATCAAATGCAAAACAGTAAAAATCTTCGAAGAAACCGAAGATACTTCTAACTTATTAAGCAACTTATCAAAATTGCCAAGGACAAGAAATACATTTCTACGCAGCTACTGTATTTTGCAGTCAATGCTACCAGTGTTTATTCTGCATAAAAATCCGCCGTCTACTCGCGAGAGTACAGTCTACGTCAACAAGACAATAACTCGAAAGTCAATAGAACCACAAATACTTGCTACATTGTAATAGAAATTGACTCGAGTTTAAAAGAATGGTAACAATCCTAATCGACCAGCGCAGCGGTCAAAGTGTTAACAAGTCTCGAATAGCAGCCCCTCGAAATCCGTTTAAACGTTTAAAAATTTGCGCAAACATCCGCGGCCGTACGTTAGATCTACCGAAATCCGGACAACTAGTTTCCCGAAGCAGATCCGCGAGGAGACGACGTCCAGTGATCGCCGAGATCGCGAGATTCCGAGACCGATTTTGTCGGTGGTTCGGCCTCGTCCTTTAAGTACATGAAAAGGTATAGAATTATCGATTGTAGGAGCGTATCGTGTTCTTACGATTCGATGTAAGTTCACGGTTAGTAACGTAGCGTGCTCTCTCTCTCTTTCTTTCTATCACTCTCTCTCTCTCTTTCTCTCTCGCGTTACGCGTCTAATGAAATATGCCCTGTGGAAGATAGATCTCGATTCTTGAAACGATCCCATAGCCGAATCCGGCAAACGGGAAACGAGACTGGCGAGAAGATCACCGGCGAACCTGTGCAACAGTAAAATCGTCGAAGATTCGTTCCAATCCGTTACGGTTCCCCCGATCTCACCCCGTTCTCTAGAATCGGTTCACCGATTTCACCCTCTTACGTTCACCTTTCCTGTCGCGAGCATCCCCCTCCCTCCCCCTGGATCCCGTCGGGGAACCGGAAACCGATCCCAGGTTACGTTATCGGATGCGAACAGACAGCGTGTGCGATCTTGCAAAATAAAACGAACGCGAACGTCTCCGGCGACTCCTCTTCGCCGATCGCGTCAGCGGAAATAATTCTGCCGAGCTGTTCATTCCTCGAGGCAGCTGTCTCGCGATTAGAAGCTTTTCGAACAGAGCCTCGAGAATTCGTCGGATCAACGAGACGCTCCTCGATACTTTTCCGGGAAACGTGACTCGAAAATCTTGTCTGAACTGCGGCGCTGCGATCTCGAAGATCGACGTCGATCATCCGGGCAGCCATTTTGGTTGCACCGGTTCGGATCGCTCGTATGAAGAAAATTTTACCGCAGCGGTTCATTGCAAACAATTTGTTCTACAGAGATCACCGAATGTTCGATCAGTCGAGCAAACAGTTCTGAAATTAAAAGCGAGACTATATCGCGAAAAAGCAATCCTCAAGGCGGAATCTTCGTTTCTGATTGGAGACACCAATGTATAATATCTGTTTATTTGAAACTATCTTCGAATGCCAGTGTCTGCCAATGTTCGAACGCACGACACCGGCGTGCTAAAAAGTTCCTCGGACTGAATCGCTTTTACGCGCGCGCCTTTAATGAAACAGCAAGGATTTAACGAGCGGACGGCGGAAAGAAACCGGAAGAGACGTTCGTTGCGGACACTGAAAACGGGGGTTCGAGCACAAGGCGAAGCCGCGAAGAGGAGACCAAAGATATTATGGCACGGGAAGCGACCGTGGATCGCTGTTGCGAAGAAGAAAAGCTGCGATCGTCGGCGGACGGGCCGGCGATTCGAATTTCGAATGCTAAGTCCCTGGAGCTGGTGCTCTCGATGAAACGACAGGGAAGTCTCGTCGCGTTCCAAAGAAAGAAGAATGGGAAAGGATGTCTCGAAGATGGCGGACGCCCTCTTCGGACGGGAATCGAGCATTAATCGCGCGGCCGAAAAGCAAGCCGAGCGCGAGAAAACGCGAGCGATTTGTCTACGATCGTGTACGAGGGCGAAGGGCGGAAATCGCCCGTTGGAGCCGCGAAGCCACCCCTCGCGGAGTTTACGATGCCGCGAAGCGACGACGCACCCCCGCGACCTCTCCTCGTTTTCTTCGCGTTCCTGCGCCGCAATCGCGTTCGCGCTTCTCGCCTGAGCCTTTCCGTTCTCCCCTGTTTTTTCGAGCACACGATCACCGACATCGTGAGACTGAAACGGACAACTGCGAACCTTGATCCCCTAAATGCTCGAATATTACGAATAATAATTAATATAGCGGAGAGAATACACCTCTCTGCGCCGATAGCTAATACAAAAATACTGTTCTGTTGCACCATATCTCTTTCTACTATGCCTACTAGTATCATTATGCATAATAATCCCTGTAGTTTCTCTTCTTTCTTTTTATATTTCTTTTTTAAAAAACGCTCCTTCGATCGGTGTCGAGGAAAGGAGGAAAAGAAAAAATACTGAACGAGGAGTGTTTCGAGAAAGTGTTACCGAATTCGTTCCCTATTTCTCTCTCTCTCTCTCTCTCTCTCGATTGATTCCATTTATTCTAATTGATTTTTGTCATCGTAATCGGTTTGAGAACGATGCTTCGAAGAATGAAAACGCGGAATCGCTCGAATGCACCGTTCGGAAAATCCGTGCGTGTGTGAAAGATCGTGCGAAGATTACGTATACTCGTTCGACGGCGCGCGTTCCTCTCTCTCTTTCTCTCTCTCTCTCGCTCTCTGTCTGTCTCCTTCGTTCGATAAACGCGATAATACAATTTCTGCAGAATTGACCGTGCCGCATATCCGAGATAAACCGGCAGTGGGAGAGAAGGGAGAGAGAGACAGAGAGACAGAGAGAGGGAGCGTGAGACAGCAAACACGACGACGACGATTCAGTCGGAATCGGTCGCCGGTGTTTTGACGGAAATCTCATAATTACCAGTCATGATATGCGAACGACACAGGCTAACGGGACCGTTTGCTATTTTCCCCCCGATTTTGTCGCCGATTCTCCGGATTCATTAGCTCTCTTCCATGCTTCTGTTCTCTCGTTTAGCGTGATCGTTCGATTTAATTGTAAACGGGCCCGGCGAGCGGAGCCCCTCTCCCCCTCTCGTTTTCTTTATTTGCTACGATTATTAATTGTATAGTTATATATTTGTTTTTTTTCTTTTTTAATATATTCAGCATCACAGTAAGATAGCGCCCTTCATTATTAAGTGATCGTCGATCAGCTCGGACCATTTTTTCTTTTTTTTTTCTTTACTTCTTCTTCTTCATCTATATTTCATCATTCCTCTCAACAACATACTCTATACAACAACACGTGTTCATGCATCGTCGAATATCAGTGAAATCGTCGATGATGTTCATGCCATGTCACGCACATGATTGGTACGATCGTGTTCGTGTGATAAACCCCCAGTGGCGGATCAACCGGAAACGGAGCCATTGGAAATGAAAACCGTACGAAAAAAAAAATGAAGAACGACAGATTATCTGTAACAACCGATCGATAACACGCGGCGACACGCGCGCGCCCATCGACGAATTTCGTGGGCGTTCGCGGCCGCACGCGGGGGTGGGTGGACGTTAATTAAAATGGAAAACCGCGGATCGAATCGAGTCGAAACGAAACGAGAGATAAAAAGGATCATCGACAGTCCTCCGGTTCGAGGCCCTCGAACCGGCAACAACGCGAGCAGAACGCTCCAAGGGAAGAAACTATTTGTACGGTAGGTTCGAAACGAAGTCGTCTCTCCTTCCCTCACCCTATCTATCTCTTTCTTTCTTTCTTTCTTTCTGTTTCCCCCTTTCGAGGAGAACGACCAGAAACGTGGGTAATAAATATCTGACATAAACCGATCGCGAAATCTTTTTCTTCCTCTCGCGTGAGTTCAATGCTAATTAACGTGAATTTAAGGGAGGAACTGAAGTCTTTGAAACGACACAACCTTCGATAGACCAGGTTTTAGACGAGGCGCGGACAGGAGGGCTGACGTTGATTAAAAAAGAAAATTTCGATTAAGTACAACGGCGAATCGCTTCGTTCGTTGACGGAACGCATTTTGAAATAATTAATATAAAAGACGAACCGGTTGATGAATCGTTTAGCTCCGCAGATCGCCCGACGTGTTTCCAAGATTCGTGCACGAGATTGTTCTCACGGATGGTCCCTCCTGTCCACGACGATTGTTAACGTTTATTTGTTAATCCCCCATACGTAGGCCCTCTAGGACTAGCTGGTTAATGGGTCGACGCATTCGAAACAACGTTAATGACCGTGTCTAACTAGCTTTTGGTGGACTGTCTACGCTTTTCGTTTTCGTTCCGATCTATCTGTAAAAGTAGCGAAAAAATGAATTCTAGAAATAGACACTTATAATTACTCTGAAAATAAATAGTTACAAAAATAAGCGAGCATTTTATGCTTAAAATACCTTAGGTAAAAAACTTAATTAATTTGCACCACATTACGGAGCGGAATGTGTGGTCATCTCTATTATACTAGATCGTAAAAAGCGTAATTCTAACAAAACTGTTTCAACTACCTGTGTAAAAAACATCAACGACAACTTCGTCTAAATCTTTTTACACGTTGATTACTCGTAGTGCGACAGAGCTCAATAATTAAAAAAATAATAATATTATTAATAATAATAATAATAAAAGAAAAAATAAAACACGTGATTCAATAAATAAGAGTGCAACAAGAGATTAAAAATAGGACAAAAGGACGCGATCGATATTGATCGACTTGGTCGATGATCGTCGGTACTCGCAGTAATAAATAACTGTGCTGAGAAATCTGGCATCTCCGCAAAGATTACCCGCTATATAATTGTTCGATCAATCATCTCGCTCTTTCTCTCTCTCTTTCTATATATATATATATATATATTTTTGTTTTTCCTTCACACACACAAACACACCCCCGCCCACCCCCCCAACCTTTGTTCAGTTCACAGCTTTTCAAACACTGTGGAAGAAAGAAGACAATTCTACACGCGAAATAGATTCCCAACGTGAAAAATACGAAACGCAACAGCACTCACGATACCCCGATATCTAACTTAAAAATCGAGTCAACTTTTGTTTTTTTTTTCTTTTGTACTCTTCTACAAACTCGCTCGTGTCTACCTTACCTACGTCCTTTACGTGACGCACGGGTGCGTACTGCAGGACCTCGAACAGCCTGCGATCGCGGCGTTCCGATCCAGATTCGAATCCCGATCGGATCGTCGCGAGTTGAACAGCGCTCGAACGAAACGGCACAAAATTTATCACCATTGACCGGGGACCCCTGGCTTGTTCAAGGCCGCGGAGTGACCCTCGGCATCGGGAAACTCAATCGGAAACAAAAAACGAAACCGTGAGCGAAGACTGAGATTCTAACGATACGCTACGGAGGTGTCACTATCGACCTCCGTACGCGCCTGTGCTCGCGCCACCGATATCATTCTCAAACGACAGAAACGAATCTAGTGGCACTGTGTCAATACTTTACGATGCCGAAACGGCGGTCGACGAACTTATACTATTCTCGACGCGTCCTTTTGGGGCGTTGATTGACTCCGACCTCGTCGGTGCCCCGCGACTTTTTACCGATTTGTACCTGACTCTGTGCGGTTAGCTGCAACGAGATCGCGTGAGTGTTCAACTTCTCGGCCAACAGCAGGTCCTTCAGACCCTTCATCTTCTGACTGTACAACGTTATCCTCGGCTTCTCGTTCTCCGAGTCAGTCTCTACCTCTGGGTCGAGGTTCTCCTGAGATGTGGAAGGCGCGGGTGGAAGAGCGTCGTCCGGTGGGGCGACGAACGGCTCCCCGCCGCCTTGCAAGAGGTAATCTCTGTTAAGTATTTTCTCGCTGCAGGCCGCCGTTAAAGCTTGAATACTGGGATGCATCGGAGCCGGGTTCGATGGCACCTTGGACTCCAAGGACTTGATGAGGTCGCGTGCCGCGTTGCCTCTCTCCTTCGTTTTGCAGTAATTGTTGTTGTTGTTGTTCAACGTCTCCTCCGGGCTGGTCTCGCGCTTCTGCGCCCGCTCTTCTTCTTGCTTGGCCTCCGCGTCGTAGCAGTCGATGATCACCTGGGCCCGGATGCCGGCGTCGAACTTGGAGATCGTGTTGACCAGAGGCCGGGCCCAGCCGATGTGCAGAACTGGCGTGTTTGCGCCCTCCTCCCACTGGCAGATGCCGTCGTAAAACCTCAGCAGATAGGCAAAGCATCGTGGTTGCCGCAGCAGACGCTCGTCCGCTCGCACCGTGTGCGGAATCAACTCGTTCGCTATTTCCAGCAGCTCCTTATAAATTTCCCCGTCATCCCTCGAGTAATCGTACCTGCCGCATTAACGTTAATGAACAGTGGTCCCCTAATCTAGCTAGGCTCTGGTACTCTAATCTACTTACTTCCTCAGAACATCTGCTGCATCCGCCCACGACGCTAGAGCATTCGCATGTAGACCGTGTCTGTACAAATAGCCACCTTGATAGGTGTACGGATACACATGAGCATTTCCATAATACTTTCTCGCGGACCGTATGGCTTCCTGAAAGAGGTGGGACATCGTCCATTGGAAGCAAACTAGCAAAACACCCTATACGTACCTGAAAGAGGTCTATGGCGGGCGGTCTGCCGGGCGTCGACGCCGCTTCTTCCAAATCCCCTAGGTTCCCCAGAGCCATAGGATACTTTGCTAGATGACCCAGATCATACAGCAACCACAGCAGCTCCTGTTGCAGCAGTGCCACTTCCGCTGCATCCGCTGTTGCGCTCAAACTAGGATTTATAGCCGAGACTATAGTGGCTACCTCCATTGCCCTCGAGCATACCACAGCCTGGCCATTTACGTACAACCACGACCTAGAGGCTACCCCAGGCTCCACTGGCTGACCTCTTTTGTCCTCATTTCCTTTCCCTGAAAACATACAGACTTTGTCAGTCTTGATATTCATTGGAATATACAGTATTAGATTGGTTGGAAAATTTGTTTCAAATTTTGTGTACAAATTAAATGGAACAAACTCTATAATATAAACTCCATATATTACCATGCCAAGTTACTTCAGCCGTCTCAGTCCCATTCTCCCCGTAGACCACCCAGGCATGGTCTTCGGACATGGCAAGATGTACATCTTTGAAGCCCAAGACTTGACAGCCCGCTACCACCGCGAATGCCACTCCAAAACAGTCCAGCTTGTTCGCTGTGAGGTAGCTGTATAGACTTTGCAGATGCGCGCGGTCCTTGTAGTAGCTCCTGGTTAAGGAGTTCCATATCACGTCGGAGACCTTTTTGACGAGCTCCCGGGTCGCGTATTTGGTGTCGTAGACCGTGAGGTCGACCGCCCCTTTGATCACAGCATGGAACTTGGTGTAAAGCGCCTCGGCGATGTGGAACTCCACCGCCGGCAGCTTCGGCTCGTCGTAAACAGTGGTCTCCTGCGACGCGAACGTACGGTTGCAGGTTAGGGAATTCTCGACTGCGCCGACGAGAATCGAGAGCAACGCCAGGTCCGGCTCCGAGCTATTTTCCAGCTGGTTCTGGAAGATCTGCACGATGGACGAGATACTCCGTATTGGAAAGAGCGCCTTATCCTCGTCCCGAAAACCCGCCATGTCGCGAACGGCAGGCTACCACGCACGAGATCGAGCACCGTCTCTCAAGCCACGAGTGTCATCCTGCGTTCTGTTAATCTTGACAGAAACCCTCGGCGAAGAACCGCGATCCGTTCGGTTTCCCCTTGGTCGACTAACGTCGCATCCTAGACAACGTTGATTTCCTCGCTCGGGACGCGAAACTATCACATTTCCGCACCATAAAATGTATCACAACCGCCGTAACTCACCTAGCGGCGCGCCGCCACTAGGACCGTTTCCATTGAGCTCGCCTCCGTAACATCGTAGTCGGCACGACGCAATCAGAAGGCGGGTTTTCTTGTGAACGACGCAACGACGTTAAGCCTGTACGCGCGCGCGCGCGCGATCTTTTTGCGTTCCAGAATTTTCCAGAGGTACCAGGGATGCGCATTAATCGATTTATGTTTTTAATTCGATTGAATAATTGACGCACCTTTCACTCTCGTACGATACTCGAAAATGGTCGCGGGACAAACACGCCGACCCCATTTTACGCATCACTTCGACCGATTGCGTTTTATTCGGTAACAAATAGAATCGAATTGAAACACAATCGCAGGGAATTGAAAGATTTTTGTTATTCGTACGAGGGTCGAGGAGTCGAATAAGAGATTCGGATGACCTTCGATTCAAGATTTTAGTTCGATCGAAGGAATTAGATTGTTTGTATCGAATTGTATGTTCGAATTAATATTAATACATAATAAGTTTGGCGAGCAAGTAAAAGTGGCGAGAACCTAGTCGTAATAAGTAATATCGTTTTGGAAGGTATAGTATCAAACCTATGTTTCCGAATTCAAGGACATCTGCTGACCATCCTGTAGATTGTTTCTCGACACCGGTCTTCGGCTTCATGAATATTTAAACATTCATTCATTTGGTTATTAGTCACTTACAATGAGTCAGATACACAAATGAGTAGCTTCGTTCTCTTCGAAATTTCCAATTTGAATGAAACTGCTCCTTCGAAGGGAACCGTGGCGTCGTCTGATGGCGGTATTTCGTAGCTGTAACTTGAACGTCGCCGCAGATGTCGTGTCAAGTTCAAATTGTTTTAGTTTGACGTTCGTTGAAATATGTTCGAATAATACTCTAACATCGTTGAAGAAACGTTTAATTACGATTCGTAGAGGATTAATTATCGGCAATACTAATGGCGATGTGATTACCTTCACGATTATGTAAGAGAAAAGAATACATTGGACTAACGGTTACTTACCAATTTGAATAGTTTAAGATGGCGCCAAAGGCGCAGTACGCATCAGATTTATTTCGACGTTCGGATCTCTCTCGTTGTTTCTCTCAACTCCAAAGTATTTTTATTCTAACAATTCGCACACGATTATCTTAAATTTATCGAGTAGTACTGTCGTTTAATACCGTGTACAATATACTACTACGTGAAGAACAAATACAACATGAAAGTTACGATAAAAAGTAAGTATACCAAACGGTATTACTGTTTGTTTATATTAGCTGTTTTCGTTTGATAATTCGAAGAAAGAAAATGACTTCAATCACAATGACTTGTGATTAGCAATAAATTAATCTCCCTCATGCTTACACGCCTATATTTTATTGGAAATATGTAACTAACCGAAACATGTTTTATAGGTTGGACCGGTGTTGCCACCTGGCGCTGGATAGCGAACGATGACAATTGCGGCATATGCAGAATGCCCTTCGATGCGAGTTGTCCGGATTGCAAAATTCCAGGGGATGATTGCCCATTAGGTAAGTAATATGTCTTTTTTATTTGATTAAATTCCTATCGTCGGTTGGATCTCACGCACGTCATGCCTCTCGCGTAAATCTCGTCCGCCATCTTTGTTGCACTACACGCGAAGTTACAGTGTTACCATATTTTATACAAGATAGTACGAATAGTACTAGTCTTATGAAACAAATGAATTAGAACTAAAGGTAACAAAGTCGAATTTTCAATTTTATGTTGGAATTATTCACAATATTTGTAACTTTTGATTTTCACATTATTTGCCAAAACGTTTGACCCATATTTACATAGTCGCCATTAATATGCAAGCAATGACAACAAATATCAGGGGCTGGGGAGTAGAAAACATTACCACCACTTTACCCCCTTTAATTCTCATTGCCTGTTTGCTTCCAAATTCACCCCTACAACGTTCTCTGCATTCCCACATGAATATACTTGACTTTAATGCTACTTTGATAAATAATTTGTTTGATAACTATTTACATGATTGCCATTATCATGCAAATAGGGATAACAGACATAAGGGGGTGAAACATATATTTGAGAATGTATAGATATTAGACCTAGAAATGCGGTGCAATTATAAGGAGTCTAAGAGATATCAATGTCCATTGTATGCATTTTACAATTAAACATCTGCAAGAACACCAGCTAGCATGTCTGTCCAAATTCAGAAAATTATCTATCCGAATTCGTGAAGTTAGTCTACTAACTGCTGCCACAGCCCTATGTGACCATAGGAAAGCCGGGTGCTGTTAGTAATGAAAGGAGGCCCCTTTCTTCACCCCTAGTGTTTGAAAAGATTGCGCTCGAGAAGAATAGATCCGCATGATGCCGGTTAGGGGACCGCTCGAAAATTGCCGCCGCTCATTCTGCGCAGTTGCGGGTGGAAATATCGATCGGTGTGCGGAGCGAACCGGATCCCCCGCACACCACTCGAAACAGAGGGTCACACAAAACACAGAGCGTATTACGGGGGGCACGCGTACTCTCGCGTGTCGTGTGCAATGTAAACGTGTAACGAACGCCGGCCGGGAAACAGTGCTCCTTCAGAGAGAGAGAGACAACAAGAACACAGGAAAGCGCGTCTCGCGGACGAAAAACATTCCTCTAAAACACCGATCCCGATGTTGTTCCAGTTTGGGGACAATGCTCGCATTGCTTCCACATACACTGCATCATGAAGTGGCTGCACTCCCAGCAAACCAGTCACCTATGCCCGATGTGTCGTCAGGAATGGAAGTTCAAGGAGTAACTGGTTTCACGATGGTCCCGCAGGTGTCAGCACGCAACGAGTAATCCAGGTAACGTCCCGCACCACCTGTACTTACGTAGGAGACAATGCGGTCGAATCCAATTGTCGCCGCTTTCAATGAAACCCTTGGTGCACGCGCTGCGGCCTTTGGCGCGCGTATACCACGAGCTGGATCCTAGCCTGCGTTCCAAATTGAGTACTAGGCGGTGTTTTATGTCCTGAGCTAAGTTGTAGACTGAATCGTAGCTTAGGTCCTAGCCTGCGCCCTAGTTTATCTTCTAATCTTTGTTCTAGCTTAGGTCCTAGCCTGTACAGAAGATAGCATAGTCGGATTTGAATTTTCACGACTTGTAGCATCAAAGATAGCTTTCTGCAAGTTCTACATCGGTTGATAGACCCACGAGCTAGCGCAATAACATCAAAACGTAAACGATAACGTTGACGCAGTCGAAGAGGGTCATTCTCCAGGGACCTAGCTCCCGTTCACGACGAAATGGTACCGAAAGTCAGCGATGCAGCGAATTGTATCCGCCGTGATTCATGCGAGTATCGGCAACGTGGTTACGTAACGAGCGTTTCCTCGACGGTTTTGTTCATCGCAGGAGCGCGATACCGTGAACGGAGCCCGGAGTTATCCAACGCCATTTTCACCGGACCCGCTTCCTACATCGGGCAGTCCTTGACGCAACCATGCGTTTTCCAATAATGGTCCCCGCGTGGGGCGACCCCGACGCCGACGCTCGCCGCGATTTTCCTGCGACATCGGCTCGCGAAAAATTGGGAACTCGTTTCCCCGGATGAATCGGGGTGAAAGTAGAACAGTCGGGAAATAGAGTGTGAATGAAACTCGAATGGTCGTGCGATATGCCGAACAGGGAGCCTGTTTCAGAGGCTAAGCTACTTCTAGGCGCTCTGGGGATCGTTTAGAGAATCGTTTCGGACCGATCGGCCGGGTTTTTTTCTTTCGCGAGCACGCGTGCTGCGTGGCGGAGATAAATGGTACGGGTCGGTCGAAAGGTTTCGAGCGCTGGGAAGCGGGCATAGCGAGCGGATTCGAACGCCTTAGCGATGCAGTTCGCGCTGAACGAAGCGAGCAGAGACCTAATGGGTCCCTTCCCTTTTCCTCTTTCTCCCGCCAGCATACTCTTTCTCCTGTTTCTCTGTTCCGCGTGCTGGTCCCCGGGTTACTCTCTCACGCGATATCGCGACGATACGGAGCTTAGCTCGGAATATGTACTTGGCCATGTCGAAAAGGCACCTTCGATCTCCCAAAGCTCCCCTTTGTTTCCGGCCAGGTACATCCATTCGTTCTTTCGTTTCATTCGTCCGACGCATCCGATCATACCCGGCCTCCTTTTCACGCCGTTTTCTCCTCCGTGCACGCGAGAGCCGTTTATTCGACCGGCAATTAGCGGTGATTCTATCGAGAAACCCGCGATTCACGGAGGATCATCTTCTGGCACGGTACGCCTATGCTGCCAGCTCGCTCGGTCCCTCGCCTGTGTCGGCTCGGCCCTCTTCGTTATCCATTCCATTCTATCTCTGCTCTCCCTCTCTCCGACTCTCTCCCTCTCTCTCTCTCTTTCCCTCTCTCTTCCTTTCCCTCTTTCTCTCTCTCCGATCTCCCCTCTTTGTTGCCCCGCGTCCTCTTACTCCCTCGCACACGAACGCATGCAATCGCGCACACGTACATATCCCCGTGTCTGTGCGCGTGTATCGTCGTCCACGGAGAGGTAGGCACAAAGCCTCTACGTACACCGCGTCTACTGCCTACCTGATGCCACGAGAACTCGGGCTCTCGAGCCAGTCACGTGGTCTCTCGAACGCGAAGGATGTTTGTGGGATCGCGAAGTCAGTTCGCGGCGGTTCGTTCAACGGGCAAGAGAGAGAAACGTTCAGAAGGAGGAGGAAGAAGAAGAAGAAGAGGAGGACACGGCGTCTCTGTGGTAGACCAGTGGGACAGGAACAGGGACAGCCAGGAACAGGAATAGGGAGCAGGGGGAAAGAGAGGGGGGGAGGCGTTGATACGTGGATAGAGAGGATAGAAGGAGCGGCAGTGGATCGAGGATACTCCAAAGTTCCGACCGTGTCCTCGTCGATGGAACGCGTTCGCTGCGTAGCGACAGCGTTTTGTGCGCGCTATTCTCGATAGCCTAAGAACTCTGAGAACTCTGATCACCGGTTGTTTTCGTGGTTCGGACGAGAAGCAGTACGAAGCGAGAACCGCTAGAAAGTAGGCTCGGGGAAGTTGAATGATAAAGCGCGTATCGCCGCCTCCGCCAGCGCGTCGTTGTCGCTGTCGTTGTCGTTGTCGCTAGATTGGACTGCTCCTTTTCTAATTGCGAGTGAACAGAGGCTGCCGGAAGTCTCGGTAAAAACGCGGCGAACAGACTGGAAAACGCGAGAGCCTGTGGAACGGTACTATTGTCGATGAGCGCGGAGAACGTTTCTGTTCCCGTGACTCTGACTCAACGATGAATCGCGCGCCGAAACGGTCCGTGGCAGTGGGAGAAGAGGTTTCCAGTGAAACAAGAAGATAATCGCGTCTAGATAGGAGCCGCTGGGACATGCCAGTGAAGCGGGACCCGTTCGGATAGACGATCTCGAAGAAGAATGCAGTTGGCAGCGACGCAGAGGCCTCACCCACCGCCCGTGCCGCCGCGACCCAGCCGGCAGGTGGTCGCAGAGGCCCTTAAAAGATCCCCAAGGCCGCCCTGTCCGACTAGACAGGCCCCACCGCCGCCCAACACCAAACCCTGGCGATCCGATCAGGAGCAACCGGCGGGTCAGCAACAGGTGTGCGCGGCCAACGCCGGCCGAACGGTCGTTTACGAGTCGACGACCAAGGAATCGATCCCCAAAGAGACCGGCAGCGAGACTACCGAGGCTCGGGTCACTGACAAGGATCGAGTCGCGAGGAACGCGAGTGAAAGGAGCGAGAGGGAGGAGGAGGAGGACCGTCTCCGGCGGAGTCCGCAGGAGAAATATCGTCCGCATCCTGAGCCACAGCATCCCGAAACCAACGAGCCGGTCGATCCTCGGCAGAATCAAGTTCGAGGTCGCGACCAGGTTCAAACAGAGACCAAGGATCACAGATCCGATTCAGCCTGTCCTGCGGATCGCAAACGTCTCGACAACGACAGACTAGAGTCCTTCAAACCCCCGGTGCAACCGAAGTGCAACGCGTCCGTTCGCGACGAGGGCCGCGGATCGTCTAGCTCCGATAGATCGAAATCCCATACCGAGAAGAGTGGGGCCGAAGCCGAAGCCCGGCCGACTCCCACTCGCAGGTCGTGTTTAGCGAAAAATCGGGACGCTGCCGTGAGGAAACCCGCGGCGAACGCGATTTCCTCCGAAGAGGTTTCGAGCGTGAATGAAAACATCGAGCCCGCCTCGAACGTTGACCGTGCCACGATAGTCGTTATCGACGAACCAGAGCGTAAAGCTGCGTCCGACGCCGATGACGTGGACGAGCAGAATGGAACCGCGAACGAGAACGAGAACGACAACATTCATCGGCAAGATTGGCTCGACGCCGGTGTCCAGTACTCGTCCACGCAAATCACCCTGTCCGGCGAAGACGGTGACCGAGTCAACGGGCTCGATCGATGCGAGAACGAGAAAATCGGCGACCTTAATTTCCTGAGGTAACCCATCCCCCTTTCCCCATCGGCAATCCATCGTAATAAACGAGATCGTTTCCTTCGTAAAGCCTGCTAATAGGTAGCTAAAATGCATACCGTCTAGACCCACTGTTTTTCTCATTAGCACCGCTCGACTTAGCGTAGCCAAGCCTCCACTTGTTCGATTACTCTGGAGCCTGTTCCGAAAACGAATTTTCAACGCAACTCCGTTTATAGAAACGCGACGCTAACGAGGCGAGTGTCTTACATCGCGTGTCCGGTGCAGAAACATAATCGCGATATCGCGATACCTGTAGAATACGAAGATCGCGGTTAGGTGCGAGCCAATTAGAAGATAGATATCGGAATGCGCCTGAGTTCGTCGTTCGACTTTCTCAAGTAACACGATGCAATCGAGACGGATACTTTGCGTGATTAATTGGGTGTCAAAGCGCAGGCTACCGGGTGATTCTAGTCTTCTCAGTACTCAGTCGGTGCACTCGTCAGTCTGACGAAGGATTTTCCTTTTCCAGCCTACAAGAGAGGATCGCGATGTCTTCCCTGCAAGGTCTACCACCGCTGCCGAGGAGTCTGAGCGGCTTCAACCTGAGTGCTGGCGGAAGAGGCGAGGGTTGCGAACCTCCGCCCCCGCCCACTAGGTCGTCGAGCAAGACTCAGAGAGGCGGCAAAGTCGCTATTCAATCGTCGTCCAGGCCATCGCCACCTGCCAGACAGCTGACCACTCTGGACACTCAGCTGGCTATACTGAGAAGAGAAATGGTGATTGCCGAAACCTCGCTGCACCCTATTATGCATATCTCTCCTACCGATCCACGTCATAAATCCTAAGTGCTGGGAGTTTCGATTGAAAAACAGATCACGCGTCGTCGTGCGCCCTATTAAACGCTGCATCGCGGAACGGCGATCGATATTAGGAAAAGATTACGTTTTTCCCTGGAATCCGGTGATTGGCGCGTTACGACACAACTATGCGCGGTGGAAACAACAATTTTCTCCTTTGCGTTACGTAAAACGCTTTCGACCGGTCGGACGCGGGATGGTCATCGCACAATTTTATAGAGATATAGTTGCTCAGTCATTCGAGTGATAAGCGGTTATCAGAAAAATTCCTGAACGAAGATAGTTGTCAACGTTGTCGACGTTTGCGTTATTCCTTATCGTGAAAAATTCTTAGTCTTCGTTATTCCCGTTTTCAACTGTTCTCGTCGGCTCTGTCGATGCGACCCGCTATCTCGGGGCCAGGCCAGCGCGTGGGTAAATTACAAATCACGATGAATATGTATTCGTAGCGTGGGACAATATGCGGAAGAAACAGGTATAAGTGTTTATATCATCGCTCGTTCTGTCGACGCGTTACCTTTTTCATGATTGCTGACGGTGGAGAATTACGAACGTATGACGAGCACTCAAAAAACATGTGGTATCAATCGATGACCAGAGAAACATGTACGGTTCTGCCTGCCAGAAGAGCTAATAGTTTAATAGTCAATCCAGACACGAAGCGAACTGGCACAGCCGCTCCCACGCTGCATTCCCTCAGGCGTGACTCCCCCCTTTACCACCTTTTTCTGGCCGTTCTCTTTCACCTTCGTTGCTTCCACCTTTGCTCTGTCCTTCCTCCTCCTCTTCTTCTCTTCTTCTTCACCTTCCTTCTCGGTACACCGGCACGCCGACACCTCTCATTTCCATTCTCATTTTGCGCCTCCTATGCAACTCCCCCTTTCTTCGTTCCCACGGAGCAGTTGCTTACCTGCTTGTCTGCTTGGAAATAACGTCGTTTCAGTCCGTAAACCTCGGATCAGTGTTTTATAGAATCTAGTCCCTAGACAGAGCTTCTTTCCTCCATATGGGATCATGATACTTTCTTTGTAATAATTGCTTAAATGGATCAACCATTTGGAATCGTTTTATAGTTTGGACTCCGGCAGCTGGATCTGTCCTTACTCTCCCAGTTGTGGTCTTTAAACGAGTCTATCCAGGAATTCCGGCAGCTTCTGCAGGAACAAGAAGACAGAGCACCGTCGCCCTCGCCTAGCAGTGAAGAAGGGGACGACACCTCCTATGGGACCCATCCTCCACCACCTCCGAGAAGAGCAGCGCCTGTTGCTCATCATCACAGACCTCCCAGACCACCTAGACCAGCTAGGCCACCTCCCAGCGACGAATCACCGTCCAGTGAAGAATACGGAGCTGTATGAACCCTCGAGGACCCTCGAGTACCATCTCGAGCTGTTGAACACAGAAACGTTCTTATATCGGATATATCCCAGTTTCAACGAATGCTGAAATGATCACGCGACTTGTCTAACGTTTAGGTGAATTTGGACAATTAGGGTAAATCGTTTGGTCCGTTAACGAGTCGGAACGATGCGATGAAGCGCGTCGAATGTAATTAGTACGAGGAGCTTATTGCTGTTCGAAGGTACCTGCGAAAACCAATTCCACGGCAGAGCCACCGCAATCCTTAATCTCTTAGGTGCGTTAGAGACATTCACGTTGGGTTGGACACTGAACCACGTAGTATAGAGGACGTTCGTTGAACCAAAAAGCTAACCATGTCGATCCAAAAAATGATACAACGACTCTCTGTGCATAATTCTGTGTGCGGGTGGAAAGCGAGCGGTTGCGCAGAAAGATCTCGAAAGTAAAAGGAGAAGCACGTGTGCGAGCATTAAAGAAATAATTTTTTCAGTCGAGCAAAGAAGTTTGTTTATTGCCTGCTCTGTTGCAAATTCATATTTAGTTTAATAGGTTTTATAAATAGGTGAGCACGTGCTCCAAAAAATTTTAGTAGTCTCGTTTATTCAGACTGTCAGTTCCTCAAAAGACCTAGCTTTTAGCAAAAGAATAATTTGCATTTGGAAATTAAGGAATAATTGTATGATTCTCGATAGGGGTTGTTATTTTAGTTGCACGCGTACTATCTCTTCTATTTGTGATAGCAGTCGACGGGGCCTTTAATTAATTATGATATAGACAACTGTTTGTGCAATCGTAACCATTCCCGTGATGATTTGATGACCGCAACGGATCCGAGCCTGCGAATCGACAAAACTGCTAGTGAGTTCCAAAGAATTGCGTTCGAAAATCCTTCTGCCTCTCTTCAACGTTTCACCGCAGTTGCATTACGTCCATTGCAGAGATTTCTTTCTTGTTAATACAAATAGAAACGCACTGATACAAATCAACCAGATGTCGTCGAGTTATACAACGGCGATCTGCCCGACGAGTTCTGTAGATTAATTCGAGTGTGTAAAATAAAGGTTAAGATGTGAGGTACAAATAAACGAGCTGTAAGATAAAAAGTGCTCGTTCCTCTTTATCATTTTATTTTTTCATTCTTACAGTAATGCTTCGTTCGAATTTAGATAATACTCCCGCACTTTTTGCTGCGGTAACATGGCGGGCTATTTGTTTTAACGAAAAATTTCGAACTGGACCAGTTAATTAGGACCATTAGCAAAAATAGAAAGTAGAATCTACCCTGGAAGCACCAACATTTCGTTTTTTTAATTCTAGCGATAATGTTTCGCTTATTTTCAATAGTTTTCTCTTGGTTAATATACAAATTACCGTTACGCCAATTGGCGGACGACGCCACCTTGAGTATCTGATGGGAAAGGAAGAGTTGCATCGCGGTTGGACTTGTCAGCAAAGATTACTATAGTAAAGCTAATCCTGGACACTTTAATATTTGGTATGTTAATTATCAGGCCTATAAAGATCTTTTTATAATTAATTGCATAACGATATTCATTTTAATCAGCCCCCTTGTGGTGATTATAGGAATTACTGCTAAGAAGGTTATTGTCGTCGCGTCCACCGGTGTTTAAAGACTGAGAAAGAATTGATTTGAACGAGATGGCTAATGAATATGAGACTAATGAGAAAGGTAAAAAAAGGAAGAAGAAGCGATCTCAGATGCAGATGGCAAAGAAGTTCGCAAATGGGCGAAATCATGGCTCCCACTTAGACTCTGACACATATCAATACATGGTGCGAATTCTGGAGCTGATGAGAGGTGAGTTTTCAACATTGGAAGAGAAATTAATATTCGTAAATAATGTGTACGAGCAAACTGTCGGTCACGAGATCGAATATGCCCAAAATCAACTCGGATCCAGAGTGATTGATTCGCTTTTGAATTACGCGAATCTGAGTACGATTCAGAGGTTAGTCGAGGCTCTTTGGCCCTCTTTGCGAGTGCTCGTCAATGACAGATTTGCCAGCCATGTGCTCCAAAAAATCATAATTGTTTGCGCCGATAGGGGAAATAAAGATCTATCCAAATTGCGAACTTCTGATACTAATACAGATTCTGCAGTACAGGTTGAAGAATCAGAAATAAAACTGTACAATGATATTGTATTAAAACTGAGTAAATATATCGTAAACAACAGAGAGGAATTTGTGTTCGATACATATGCAAATCATATATTGAGAACTGTTGTAGAATGTCTAGGTGGTTTGATAGATAAGAACGAAAGCAATGACAAGAAGAAATTGCTGTACGGTCCTAGGCGTCAGGTGAATTCAGACTATACAAACTTGCTGTTTTATACTTGCAACAGCTTGCAAATGTGGCCTCAGTTTCTAGAGTTTGGTCGAGATGAGCTAACTTCTGGGATGGTACAAAGTGTTTTGTACTCTTTGAAAGATACCAATCCAGCTCTTCTGGAGGTGTACATTAAGAAAATTACTAATGGATGCTTCAAACCAGGGGAGGATCAGCGCTCCCGTATTTTTGACGCCGAATGTTCCTCCAGATTATTGGAAGCTTGTCTCGCGGTATCAAATGAAAAATTGTTCAATGAAATCTATGAACAATATTTCTCTAATAAATTAGAAGAGCTGTCTACAACAGAGAGCACAAACTTTAGCGTGCAGAGACTGCTGGACCACTGTGACTCGAAGGAAGACTTTGAGAAAATATTTGATGAGATTGAACCTTGTGTTCCTAAGATTCTCAGCAAAGGGTACAATGGCGTTCTAGCTTGCTTAGCGAATGCTTGCTTAAGGGTGAGAACTAAACAGGGCGCGTTCGTCACAGCCATTTTAAAAGCATTTAATTGCGAGACGAACGAGAGACAGCAGAGAAGTGTTCTGTGCATAGCGTCTCTGAAAACGTGGGAGCAGCTGGAGGATTTGCGTGGACAAAGTAACTCGAAGCTGTTCATTAATCTCCATGGGAGTCTGATTGTACAGGCTATTCTCAGATTTAATAAACCAATCAAGATAGTTAATTCACTGTTAGAAATTAATGTGGAGGAACTGCTGAACTTATTCAGCGATCCAAAGGGCAGTCGTATAGCGGACGCCTTCATCGGCAGCATATATATTGGCGAGAAAAATAAGGAGAAACTTGCGAAAAGTCTTACAGGCTGTTGGGCGCAATTGGCGTCCAGCACTCATGGTTCCAGAAGTCTAGAGCAAGTATGGCATTGGTCGAATATAAAGCAAAAAACTCTGATAATGCAGGAATTGGCTGAAGTCGGGGAGTCTTTGCGATCAACGAAATCCGGGCAGATCATTTTCAACAAACTAAACGTTGCACTGTTTGCAAGGAACAAGGCTAACTGGATGGAAGCGTTGGACAAGGAAGGAAAGACCAGGACCCTTTTCGCAGACATTCTAGTCGGATCTGCACGCAAAAATAGTTAATTAGTTTCTAGGCTGGTTGCCATAGGATTATTTTGTAAGAACTTAGAGTCTAAGTCATCCTGTATTTTATTTGAGCTCGATTCTCGAGTCTTGTGTTTTAAGCTTGCGGATTCAAGATCCATAGTCTTCACGATCACATTCTCTGTAGAATATTTCATGGACTACTGTTAAGTACCATTCGAATATTTTATAAAACGTTGTAAATAAATGTGTGTCGCAGGAGAACGAGGCGAATGACATAGAATAATCATGTATTTCGTGAATCTGTAAATACAACTTTTTAGAATCCATCATACATCCCTGCAACAGAATGCAGCTAGGAAAACATATAACGATTCGTAATCTATAGTTGAGCAAAGTTCCCTAATGCGTACGATCGATAAATTCGTATTATCTCCTTCTCCCCCGGTGACTAGACTTACAAATTTATGCGATGATTACGTCTCGACGCGTACAAAGTAAAAAGTTGTAGGCGGCTCTCGTTAGCGCAATCGTTTAAATCTATCAATTGACTAGGAAAATGTCGACCTTGCCTTGCACACGGTGCGTGCATCGATTCGAGCACGAACTCAAGACCGTTTTTTGTTTTCTTTTCACGCTAAAGCGAAGAAAGTTAGCGAAATAGCCGCGGATAGTATAATGTAACGCATCTCTTCGTGGTGGCGATAGAAGTTCGACACGGTCTTTTCGCTTTTGGAATCGGGCAGGAGTTCCGTTTCGATCGAACGATATCTTGAAGTAGCAGGAAGCATTTACGCATCGTTTACCATCAAGTGCAAGAGGGTGGCGTTCATTTTATTGCTAGTTCGACCACCCGCCAGCGACATCAGAGACGTTCCGAACGGTGCAAGCACATGCACCGAGATATCGATTAATTGTCTACGTTTCATTAGCAAGAACAGAGTGTCGTTACGACATATATACATCGTATACTACGCTAGGGCAAAAATTGGACGATGACAGAGGGCAGACATTTCTTCGCGGCACGTTCCCATTGTAGCCGCGACGAAGGCCGTGATCGTCCATTCAAACGCCTCCGTTATAAAAAACAATAAAATGTATTCTCTTTCCCCTCGTCGTCGCTCTTCGTCGCAGCTGCAAGACAAACGTGCCCCAACGCTCCCATTCTTCCTGCTTCGAGAATGGGGCACTCGGCCTCCGCGAACGAAACTCGGGACTAAGTACGCAGCAGATGTATGACTTGAGAAACGAGAGAGGGTATAGATCAACGCGGATCGTAATGGATCGGTTTAGCGAATCGTCGGGCATGATTGTATTTTACATCGTGACGTCACTTCCCTTTCGACGGCGCGGTGACCGTCGCCGGCGCGGTTACCTCCGCCTCGTTCGTCCCGGAGACGATCCTCGGAGGGCTGCGAGAGGCGGATCTGCTGGAATCGCGGGTCGGAGGATTGTTGCAGGTGGCATGATGTCCTCCGGCCTCCCAATCTCGGTGCTGGCAGAACGATCCGCAGTATCGAGCGATTCCGCAGCCGCCGCAGGTCTCCAGAGCTGGTCTGCCGCAGTTCCAACAGCTCTGAAAGTTAGGCTTCGGAAGACGCCGTCGAGGAACAGAGATACATGACCAAGACATAGTTACCGATCCCGAGATGGACTGCATGTGTCCGTCTTTCTCGTCCTCGGTGGTCGATGCCGCGGAGTTCGAGGTCGTGGTCGGCGTCGCTACCGTTCTTCCGTTAGTGTCGCTATGAACCCGAAGGAACGGTCCTTGCCGAACGTGGTTCCTCTGGGACATTGGTAGATCAAGCATTCGATGGACCCGCAGTCGTTCACTCGCCCTGGACTCTGCCACCGCGGCTGCCACAGCTCGCTGCACCTCTGCCACCGCGGCCCTTTTCACTTCAAGCACTGCTTCTTCTGCAATGAAACATAGTTGCATGATCGCCAAGAGGAAATGTCTTCTAGATATAGGCATCGACTTCCGACGACATCGACGTCCTTTCTATGCAAGGATCGGCCTTTGAAGATAAATGCAATAAATAAATGACCTCGATCAACTTTCAGGGTCATCTAAAAAACCAGAGATCGCTTTGGAACATCGAATAATCGAATTGTGCTGTAAATCTAGATACAAACAGCAACAAATGATCCGGAACGTTCTTCGAAAGGTTAAGGATCACCTTGGAGCCCCGTGAGAGCAGCTTGGACTAGTTCAGAAAACGGTGTCAAGACTAACCGGTGGAAGAGGTTCAAGCACTACTAACCAGCCTTCCGCTTCACTTCCGCGACTTTGTCCTCGGTAGCCTTGATAGTCTGCGCAACGATCTCCCCGGACAACCGTTTCAAACTGCCCTCCCTGTCTCCAGTTGACGACTCCACCTGGGAACCATTCGTCGACGACAGATTATTGCCAGCAGCACTGTTCCCAGTGCCGTTTTGTGTAGCAGCGGAAGCGTTCGCCAAAGGAGGTACAGCCGCGGGACTCGAGCATCCCCTGGTTTGTAGAATGGTCAACGCCCTCTTCGTCTTTTCTACCATGCCTAGAATACAGTTCAGCATCACGTGGATGTTCTTCCATTCGTCGTCCAGGCTCCCGTTCTGCATTTGAGCGTGACTCGGCGGTTGTTGCTGCTGTTGCTGCTGCTGCTGAGTTAGATGATGCGTTCCAGAGAACGCGTTTATCTGATTGATCTGCACGAGGCTAGGCGGAACTGGACTGGGACCGTGACCGTGACGATGCCCGTGACCTTGCATCGATCCGTTCGACGAATGAAGAGGATGATACCAGCAATAAGAGCCGGAGCTTTCTGTAGACGTCTGCTGCTGCTGTTGCTGAGGTGCGTGGTGGTGGCTCCAGGGGTTCGACAACCTCTTCCCGTACACTGGCACGTCGTCGAAGAGGACTCCGTTCTCATAGTACCTGCACATTTCAAAAGAAACCAATTCTTCTTGGGTGGTAAAGACTTATACCTCCATTAGGAGGCTCTTGTGGATCATCCTCTATTGTTGATGTAACTTTTAGGCGTGGCACTTGGACCATACTTAATGACGCAAAAGTGGGAGCGAAGATGTGCTCTAGGCTCGAGGAAAATTCTACGATGAAAGGATTGATCTGTTATTACAATGGAGCATCGATGGTGCGACTCTGTGATCTGGACCAAATTTGCAGATCCTATCTGCACGTAAGAGCTTAGGCTGACTTCCATCTTCAGTAAATTGTCCTACTTGTTGATGCGACTTAGATGTCACACATGGATCATCTTCTACAGCGTGAGAAAGGAGGTAGCATCGAAGCTAGGCTCGCAGGAGATAGTTCTGTGACGAAAGGGTCGATCGGCCATCGGGATGAGGATCGGCGGAGCAAGTTCGCGATCCGGGCCAGTTTCCGCAGGCAAAAACAGCCCGGTGGCAAGGGCCGAGCTTGAATCCCAGCGGCGGGATACCGATAGGCACTCGAGGCAAGTTTACTGGGCGTCGGAGGGTAGAGGGTCGAGAGTGGCGGGGTGTGCCGGGGTGGAAGAACGGTCAGGGGTGTTCGGGAAAGGTGGTACCCCGATGATATATGGAAACGTCACCGGCAGACATATCGAGAGGAGGCCTGACCTGCCAGCATTGCCAGAGAACGCGGGCGCGCGCGCGCGCGTGCCTCTACCTCGTTTCGTCGCCTTCGAGTTCGCTTCGGCGCCCCTCCGCGTTCCGCGTGCACGCGCACGTCGCGGATCATCGTCATCGTCCAATCTCTTCCCCGATTTACCGATCGAGACGTGCCGCGATTCTGCTTAGGACCGTGTACGTTCGATCCGCGATAAATAGAGCCTGCGGTCAAGAATTTTTCCGCAACGACGACGCGGCTTGCGGCTTGGCAAATGTACTACGCGCGCGGCGTGTACTCGCAGGTGCGTGGCTATCGTTAATGCTTGAATTATTAGCGAGAATCTTGCCCGCAATTTATACGCGGTTGCAAGCCGAAAAATTGTTCGCCGGTGTCGTTTCCGATACTCCGAACACTCTGCGGAGAACATCAGCTCGACGAAATCATCTGCGGGAATAGTTCTCGTTAGATCGCGCAACTCTGCGCTATAAAATCGAGTTCAGTGACCTACTCTTCAGCTGTTGGACCTTTATCGCTGTCCTTCTAATAGATATTCATGTGGGTTCAGGAAAATTTATGGACTGCATCGAGGATCATCGTCCGTCTGATAGCTAGAGTTTCAATGGCGACAACACAATTTGTTTGTATAGTAAGCTAATGAATAATTGTTAGCCCAAGGTAGGCGATCTAAATCAGCGATAACTTCAACCTGTCAGAAATACAACTATAATAACACTGTCCATTTTAGAGTATTAACGGAACTGGTCTAAGTTCTGGGTCCTGGGATCATCGGCTCTCTGTGCAGTACAAAATTATGAAGACGTCGTTATTAGATCAATGATTGGGATCGACTTAAGAGATCGCTGTTGAGAATTCGGAATGCGATATAGTTGATATTAGGAAAAGGCAGGAGCGTTTAGGATGTTCACTCACGGTGTGTCGGAGGCACGGCGTTTAGGTGCGTGCGCCTCGCTCCTGGAGTAATGGTGCAGACCGCCCGTAGCGTTGCCGGTGTGCTGAATGCCGCCGACACCGGGATTAGAATTGGACCGCATGCCGTAATGAGCGGAGCACTGATTGCCGCCGTTTCCGCTACCAGCTTGTTCCCCGAAGATCTCGACCGGCTCGCCCGAGGACACCAGACCTACAGCCTCTAGCACCGCTGTCTCGTTCGACCGTAGAAACTGCGCCGAGCTCTGCCGAATTCAAACAGATCACGTTTCGCGATGCTTCAGCGGCCAGCTAATTCGCCTGCTAAAATTCTTCGGACACCACGTGTATAGGAATTGTTACGCGCGAAACCAGCGAATTCGAAAATTTCCCGAGACCGGTGACATTCATAACGTCGTTCCGTCGAGGAGGTAATGGTAGCAGTCTCGGTCCAGGTCAGCGCGACAGCTCCCAATCAGCTTCGATTTTTAATATTCGCTCGTCGGCTTCTTTACGGCCGGCACCTTTCGTCCAAACTTTCGAACTCGTACCCTCGACTGCCGCAGTCTGCTTGGCAGAGTGGGATTTATCGCTTCTAATTCAATATCGGGATACCCCCCCCTCCCTGACCCGCCGTCTTCGTTTCGCCGCGGTTGGCAACGTTTTCACGCCTTCCCGCGTTCGCAATTCCCAATTAACGATCTCCCAACGATCCGCCGGCTCCGCGCGTACGCGCACGGCCCCGATCGATTCTCTCTTTCTCACGCGTGCGATAGGAACGAAACGGTTAGGGACACCCATGTATTTATCGCTAAACCCACCATGCTGATCGAAACGTCCGGCTTCGCATTTTTCATCTTCAAATTGTTAAAATTACGAAGACTTTTTCTTAAGAAACACGAGATTAATCCTTAATCGATTAACTTTCTGTTTTGCTACTAACGCGTTTACATTTTCTGATAAAAAGTGGTCTCTTTGTTGCACAAAGATGTATGTACATGGATTAAAACACGGATATATTAATTATACGTGTATTCTGAACACATGTTCAAAATCGTGATCTCTAGAAACGGTGCTACGAAAGAATTGGACGTCTCTCTCTCTCTCTCTCTCTCTCTCGCTCTCGATCGTTCGCCGTTGGCCGCCTCGAGAAATGTAAATCGTTGCAATTAATTTGCAATTCGCTACCGTCGACCGACCCCTCCCCATCTCTTTCTGCTTTTCCTACCGTTTGCCTTTCCTCGGCTCGCGCTCTTTGTCGTTCGTTCGTTTCTTCGTTCTTTCCGTCTGCCTTCCTTCCCGTTCTTTTTCGAGACAGGCGGCAGCTGGAGGCAGTGTCGTAACCGGAAAGTCTCTATTAATTCCGCGAGCTACGACTTTGTTCGCTCTCGCCGGCATTACGAATTCCCGTCGAAAGACAGCTCCGCCTCCCCCTTGATCAACGCGTCATCGCGATCTGGCTTTTCCCGCAGAATCCCCTCCGCGAACGATCAAGCATTGGATCAAGCATTGGCCTCTGGACAGTCGGTTTCTTTCGGTTTTCGACGCTGGACCAGCATCCCGGGGACAAAGGGATGCTGGTAGCAAGATATAGATGGCGAGGTTTGTCGCCACTGCGGGTCACTGTGGAGGCGACGCGCGGCGCAGTCTTTTCACAAAAAGTTGTCCAAAATGCGATTTTGCGAAGCATGCAGCGGCAAAAAGCTTCTGTACTACTATAAACATTATAAACATAGTCGAAAACAATCTGTGTAGCCCTCTTAAAAAATTGAAACAAGCTGCTTGAAATATTTTTGTTACGTTAAAAGGAGTCGAGTATTAAACGTTATTATCATAAATATCGCACGAAATCACGGCCAACTTTTTTGAAAAAACTACCGTCGTCGGGATCAGGCTGGACCGTTAAAAGATGAAAAAAAAGATCGGTCCACGGGAAGCCGTTTAGGGGAAAAGTTGTCGGCGTAGCGAAGGAACCTTCGACTCGATGGCGACCGCGGAAAACCGGCTGTCGCGGTCCCACCCACGATCGCGAAGTAGCCTGGGAAATTAAAACAAACCGGCAGCCGGCCAGTCCGAGCTCTGTTGATTTTACTCGTTAGCCCCTGGACACGTTGTTTCCTTTCCTCCGTCGTCGTTGTTGAAAGTTCCGACGGGGGTTCCGGGGCCGCGTAACAAAACTCTAATCTGCATCGGGAGCGAGCCGACGATCGATCGATCGAGGTTGTCTCACCTGATTGCTCGCTCTGGCCGCATTGCCCAGGTCCCTCTGCAACGACGGCAGGGTGTGCTTCAGGTACGGTAACACGAAACCTCTCAGACGGTAGTTGGTAGCTTCCTGCAGAGCCTGGTGGAACTCCTCCGCCGCCATGCTCCCGCTCTGCGACGACAAACGAGAGGATTCCGCTTGATTAACGACACGTTCTTTATCCCGACGGAAAGTCGCCTCTCCGCCAAGTGGATTCGGTTACCGCCCCCGCGGAACCGACATGCAAACTCGATCTCGTCGCTGTGTCACGTGCCGCGATCGTTTTACGGTTAACGGCGGCTGCCAGATGTCACGGTCTCGGGACGCATGCAACCTCGTTGCACGCGACCACGCACGTTCCGCGAATATTCCACCTCCCCCTGCACGGTCCACTTCGTTAACCCTTCGCGGTACGTTTCGCGTTTCTATCTTAAGCGAAATTCGCATCGACGCGAGCATTTTTTTATCGAGGTTGCGATCGACTTCGCGGCTCCGTCTCGGTCGCATTTCGCGTCGTCTCAAGCGCAACTTTAATTCATTTATGTTTGGGATTCTAGGATGCCAACTGCCAGGACTGCGAAGGGTGAACTACCCCTATCCAAGCGAGGCTCAAAGATGAAATCGTTCTGAAAGACTTTGGAAACGAGAGACCGAGGATCAACGTTCAACGTGGGAAAGCCTAAAGCCGTCCGAATCATGCGTAATACGGACTCACCCCGCAGCGTCGATTCGCGACGCTAACGAGGCCGAACCGCAGCGTCGTGGAAAAAGAAGGATCAGGTTTGAAGAGAACATGACGGATTTACCAGAAGCGCCAGGACCAGGGTTCGCACGGTGTCACCGGTGTCCGGAGAGATATCCGTGGCGAACTGCACGAGAGTACCCAGCAGCCTCTTGAACATGCCGTGGCCGGCGAAAACACCGGCGATGCATCTGGTGCCGGCGGTGCCATTCGACAGCGGGGGTACATCGTTCTGCTCTTCCGTTCTGCAGTTGGCAGGAGCTGGACCACTGCCGCCGCCACTGCCACCGCCACCACCGACACCAGAACCAATTCCATCCTCGAATTCGGGCTTCAGGGCGAGCGAGGATAAAGGACTGTCGTTGTCCGAAGATCCCGAGCAACCGGTTGCCCCTTTGTACTCGGATCGCGGACCATTGCTCTGCTTTTGTTGACCGCTGCCCACCACCGTCGAAACCCTTTGATGCTGCGAGCTCGGAGAGTGCACCTCCGGCTGGCCGTCTTCCCGCGACGGTTTGTCCCTCGTCGCGGTGCACGCTGCAATCAGACAGCACTTTTTCGTCTCGTTTCGCCAATTCGCGCGGGGTTCAACGGCGGGAAGATTCTATGTGGATCTACTGAGATCATGTAACTGTCTAATTCGTGCTCAGATTGCGAAAATGCCTTGCGACTCGTTTCTATAGCTACCGATTGTCAACAATTATAAAAAATGAGACGCAAGGCTCGAATAATTGTATCTCCTCTTCGCAAGTTGTACATTTTTGTGCGCAATTTGAACGCGAATTAGGGAGAAATTACTGTACAGGTTGTTGACAGTATCTTGGAGATATAGGAGCTGTAACTGTCGAAGACAGCACGCAGGGTTTTCCACCGAACTGTCTATTTTCTTACGTTATTTGTTAATTTACTTTACGCGCCAAAACGTCTGAACAACCTGACAGCGATTTTCGTAACATTGAAAACCGAAGCAGATTATTGTTACTTGAGAAACGATTAATTATAATTCGACGATTCGTTCGAATTCGCGATCGTTTCCATTAGCCGTGGGGCGGGCGAAATTTGGCGCGCGACGCAGCGGGGGCAAAAGCGCGCAGCGGCTGGTTATTGTCGACGCGACGATCCGAACGTGGCCGAGATACGCGTCAATGTAAAAATATAGGATTTATCTCGGCAAGAGTCGAAAGAGCGTTTCACAACGCACAAAGGACAACGTCGCCGCAAACGTCCTTTGTGCCGGGCACATCCGGGGAGCCGTCAACCACGGGGCACGTGAAACGGGCAGGCGGATCGGCCACTCGTTTACAAACACACGCTGATAAAGGCACACGGGGAGCACACGGGCTCGCGGGACACGGATGCGCGTCGGTGCCGTGCCGTGTACTCGGTGCGTGGGTGCAGCGGATAACATGCAATTACGGGCCGTGTCATCCACCTTGTCTTGTTCCCGTTCTGTGTTCCGCGCGTTATCTCGCGGAATGCCTCCAGCGCGATGGCGTGCGTGGCGAAAACGCCGTCATGGAATATGTATGTCGATAACGAAACGTTACACGCCGGTTATTCGTCAGACGACAAGTTTCGTCCCGTTCCTTTCACGTGCCGTTGCTCCCGATTAATCACGCGCGTTGCGTCTCGCCTCGTCTCGTCTCGTCTCGTCTCGTCCCGCTGTCCGCGCCGCATCCACCGATTTTCAATCTCGTTTCCCTGGAATCGCGACGTTCGACCGGCTCGCGTCGCAACAAAACTGGCAAGAAAGACCGTCGAAGAGGGCCGGGGCCCGATAGCTGCGACCGGAACGAGTGTTTTCGCGAGATGTCGCGTTAAATTCGTAACATAGCTAAGCATAGAAGGAGCCGAGAGGCAGCCGGCGGGTGGCGGCGGTGAAGGAGGAGGAGGAGGAGGAGGAGGCACGGTCGGCGCTGCCGTGTCACTGCCACCTGACGCCGGTAGCCAAGAGGTAATTACCTGTACCTGAACTCTCGGCAAACTAAACTACCTTGAACGCAACTTACGCTCCCGGCTCGCGCTCCGATTGAGAATCAAGTTCGCTGCGCTGCCCCGCCCAGCTGCCGCGTTATCAACCATTTTTCACCCCGAGGTAACCGCGCGATTCGTCCCGAGCCATCACCGAGATTCCTCGGAGATTGCTCGATCGACCATCGCCGATGCGCGTTGTTCCTCCTGTCGTCGCGATTCTCAATCTTCCCCGCTTTATCGTCGCGCTTAAGAAGACACACGGTCATGGTCGCCATATGGCGCCGAGAAACCCTTCAACTACCGAGAGATATAACGCGACAATTAGTTCCGGGGTGGCCGCGCGACGCTAAGCGGGGAACGCGGCGCAATCTGAGACGGGCCAGACTCTTGGATCAGATTGAAAAAACGATCGGGGAATGTTCGTAGGCGTTTGTTATTAGTAGGCGATTCGTTGCGATGCATTTAACGATGCGCACAATTATACGAATATTTTTAATGATTTCAAACTCGCCGTTGGATCGCGATAGTTAGATGAACGTTATTTCGGACGGCGTTGGAACGATCAGAAAATATTCGTAGACACAGGCAATCAAAGCCGCCGTATGGCGCGACGATATACTTGCGACTATCGAGAAATATAACACGACGATCAATTTCGTAGAGGTTTCGCGCGACGTCGAGGGTAGAACGGGGCGCAATCCGCGGAGGGGCCCGACTCCTGGATCAAATTGAAAAACGATTAGTCCGCCGGCAGGAAATATTCGAGGGAAACTCGATTAGTCCGGGCCTCGTAGCTCGGCGAAATTTCCGAGCGAGCGACAGCGGTCCGTGAATCGCGATGCTGCCGGTGGTTTTGACGCGCACCTGGAGCACACGCGGAGCAACGGTAGAAGCGGCTCGTTGTCCTCGTAGACGACGTTCCACGAGCGCGAAGAGAGATCGATAAAGCGCACGTGCTCCACTCGGCTGAGAGTCCCTGGGTGGAAGTAAGTGCGCTGGGACTCAGCTGTCGCCTCCTAATTGCCGGGACAATGCAACAGATGGCTTTGATCGCAATCCCTTCCCAGCCATCTCTTCCTCCCTTCGTTTCCTTTCTCTCCTCTCTTCCACCTTCTCTATTCTATACGATCTCCTTCTCTCTCTCTCTCTCTCTCTCTCTCTCTCTCTTCCGCGTTTCTTCTCGCTCTTCTGCTTCGCGATCTCGCGCCCTCTCCGCCGATGTCTCGATCATTTTTTATTCAACCTACCCCCTTCACGACTCCCTACGATTCTCCGTCCTCGGATTAGGCTTCCTGATCTCCACTCGTGGAACGTCTCCGATTCGTGAATGACTTCTGGATCTTGACGAGGAAACAATGGAGACGATTCTGCGATTTCAAAGAAGAACACCGCTTCACCGATTTCATTTCAGAGATGTCGTCGCTTAAAGTTCCGATCATTAGTGTTCCGTACTAGTACCGTTTCGAATTGCGTGACTTTTTCGAGCTTGTGGAATTTTTCTGTTACTACTAGGACTACCGAACCAGTCGAAATGACTAGTTTCTGATTTTTTACTTTACAGTTCTTGATATTATAGAAATACTTTTAGGTGAAATTTTTAGGCGCGCTTCTCTTTATTGAAGCATACATTACAATATAAATTATGCGAAGCTTAAATAAATCCAATCTTGGAATTGTTATAAAATAATATACATTGATAGTTCTAGTGTTGAACACGCGAATGCTACAGCTTAATTAACGCTGGATTTAAGAAACCGTTAAAATGGCGGGTCACCAGTTCTTCAATTTACGATTATTCGGATCGTAAACACTCGTTCGAAATCAGAATAAATGTCTCATTGTTACTTGCATAAATCGATATAAAACGGTTGCTTCGATGCTTCGTGAATCCAACGTTAACGCGCAAACTAAAATTTGTCGAAATTGCGACACGCGGCGTATTTTTTGGTCCTCGAAACCGTAGCATCGTCTCTCGGAGCGTGTTCTCTCTCCGGATCGTGGCGAAGAAATTTTCCTGAAGCTGGTCGAAGAGTATGTGCGACAGGCAGTCTACAGTTAGGAACATTGTGCTCGCACGTGTGAGTGCTATAAAAGTTCAGCTTGCCTATTCAGCACAGTTTAATAGCAGAAATGTAGAAACATATGTCGCGTCGGAGCAGTGGGGATTCCTGAGCTGAAACCTATCGACTTTGCCGGAACGATATTTGACTGCACGTTGCATACGTCGCTCCTAAAAGCGTTCATCACCGGATTGCAGATGTTTATGGCAAGAATGATTTAAGATAAAAATTGTCGACGCGGTTTAGTTTATAGTCGTTCCCTCTGTGTACAGTAAATTCTTCCGAATTTTCCATTAACTTGTAAACAAAAATGGACAATTTGGACAACCATAAAAATGGACTGGAATAATCGTATCTCCTCTTTCCAAATTGTCCATTCTTGTGCGCAATCCGCGCGCGAATTAGGGAGAAATTGCTGTAGTTGGATGTATCCGTTGATTATAATCCGAGGTCGATTCTCTTTCCGCTTGGATAACTTTTGAGCGTATGCGATGCATGAAGAAAATTCGAAAAATTGTAGACGCCATATCTGAATCGAAAGAGATGCCAAACATTTGTGTATTAGAAATTTAGAAAAACGGTGAACACGAGTTTCGTATCGAAAGCGATTCGAAACGTTCGCGACACGTTAAGAAAAACGAAAGAATTGAACCGCAAGCATTGCAAACAGAAATGACTCAGGATACCTGTAATACAACAGAGATCGAACAGTCGTATCTCCTCCTCCCAAATTCTCATTTCTGTTTACAAGCTGAAAGCAAAAATCGAGGAGAATTTTCTGTACATCGGGCAATGTTCTAGCTACCGAATCGCAGCAATTCGCGTTAGTCTCAAGTACACCATTCATTATCAAGACACTGTTACCATCGTTTCAAATAGCAGCGATTCGGCGTAGCCGGCGAGCGAATTTACAGAATCCTCGGCGTCCGAATGCACGGTGGTCGTGCAAGCGTTAAAATATTTGCGCGAGCATCCGAACCTCGGGATACGCTTCCGTCGGATTTGCGGAGGCGGCGGGGGGTAGCTTTAATATCGCGTCGGTCTCTAAGACCCATTCCTTGGAATTGCAGTCGCGGATCCTAATAAAGTTCGGGGGTGGCCGGGGCCCACCTTTCAAGGGATCGGGGGCGTTTAAAACTCGGGCGCGGGTAAATTGGCGACGGCGGGTGCGCGCGGCCCGAAAAGGAGGACGGATGGTGTGTTCCCGCGGAGCTCGTTCCCGTTCTACGTTCGTAAGCATATCCGGGAAGAAGGTGCGAGCGGTGCAACTACCGAGGCGAACGAGAGTGCGAGCGAGCGAGCGAGCGAACACGGACGCGACTATCGCAAAATACCTCGAACGGCAACGTCGGGGATGCCGACGGTGTACCGGATATGATATCAGCCTCGAGCAGAATCCCGGTGGAAGCGTTGGACGTGCCTTATCGCGTCTGGTCCAGGCAGTCAGCCAGAGCACGAACCGACCTAACCAACACACCGGGGCCAACCAACCAGCTTGACTGACTGCTCGCAGGAGTTTCACCATCCCCCATGGAGAGAGCGTTCCGCGATCGCGTTTCCTGCTAACGCAACCCGTGTACCCACGCTTCCACTTTCCCTCGCCCTTCTCTCGCCCGGTGCTTGCTCTTTCGGTACGCCCGTCCGCACGAAACAAGGAGCGGAGTAGCGCCGGGTCCGAGGCGGGCTGCTCTCGCGGCCCGCGATAAGCCGCCTTACGAGGGACTTTGAAAGAAAGCCGCGTGTCCCTGATGGCCCGGCCATCTGTCCGCCGGAAACCTCCGCTTCTGCAGCGCGAACCGGCCCGCGTAAATTTTTTACGATCCCTTTGGCTAAATTTTCCGAGAGACCCCCCTTCCGACCGGCGCCGATAAAAACTGTTCTCCGTTCCCTGGTCTCCCGACTCGAAGGTTCGCGGAAACGCAGAGGCGACCCGCGCGGGGAACACGCTCGAAGCCGCGGCGCGCCGCGCCGTTCCCGGGGAATGGCGGCGTCGCGTTAACGAAAACCAATCGATCGCCGGGCGAGAAACGGCGGCGCGCCGCGGCTCGGACACGATGACGGGGCTTTGACGAGAGAGAGACGGGCTTTTTTTCCCTGAGCCATTTCCAAGGTAGCTGCGGGCTCTCCTGCCCGTCTAGATAACCGGCGAGCTCGAAACGTACGATTCGGACGAGAGCGTGCCCGCGCCGCTGGCTATACGGGCACCCCTATGCAATATTCCAAACTAATGCGCGACCTGCCCACAGACCGAACCCGAACCCGAACCCGAACCCGCCGCCTACGCCGCCGCGACGCGGAACGCTCTCTTTCTTTTCGACGAACTTTTCCTTGGCCCGGGAAACGCCCGCAATTACGCGGAAACATTTTCCGGGCCGCGGTAAATGGCGAACGCGCGGGACTCGGTGGTACGTAAACGCTGGAGGAATCCGCTCATCGAATTTCGAAGAGGAGTTTTGCATCGATCGATGCAATTTCGCGATGGATAGCCTCATTTTAGAGCCGTATTTAGAACGATCGGATTTGTATGCATGATCTTTGTAAGGAATATTTGTTATGATTCGCGGATCTTGAACGAGCACGTTGATGGGCTTGCGGTATATATAGTATTATTATTATTATTATTATTCCATAATGTGTAATTGTAATTGCAATTGTATAATACATTTGTATTATATAATACAAATTATTATACAATTATATATATATAATATAATATGTAACCATAACAAGATGAAGGAATGAAAAATTGCAACGTCTCGTTCGACGAACATAACGTTGATCTATCCCGGAAACGAAGCGAAGGATCTTCGCCGATTTCGATGTATCGCACTGATTTTCGATGTTAACGGGAACAACGAGGCAGATTACCCGAGACACGGTAGGCAGCGAAAATATTCGTAACCCCTATGCAACGTTAATAAAACGGGTTTATGCTCGCCCACATAAAACCGCGTCTACAGCGAGCGTGCCCGTACCGAAAATTAGAGGTGTAAGAGACCGACAATGGTCGGATACGGGATCGGCGAATGCTTCGCTGCCTATTGTGCTCGCTCACGGGAAGTTCGGGAAGGATGCGAGAAGAATGAGAGAAAGGGAGAGAGAGCGAGAGAAAAAATATTGAGAACGCACCCTTTGCTTTGGCTTTCAGATCGAGATCGACGGGGAAGGGCTCTGCGTTAGCGGTGACGGTGACGGTGACGGAGGGCGCCGGGGTCGACGGATGGCAGATAATAGCAGCGGTTGCGGGGCTATCATTCGGCAGGACGGTGGCGGATGGAGCGGTGGTCGCGGCCGGGACGACGCCGTTGCCGTTGCCGTTGGCATTGACATTGTTGATGTTGGTATTGCCGTCGACGGTGGTCACGATAGCCGTGTTCGGTGCAGTCGCTGTTGCGACGGTCCCGGTGCCCGTTGACGTCGACGAGGCCGGCACCGACGCCGACGACAACTGCTGATAACCGCAGCATTCCTTCGCCTCTTCCTTCACCTTGACCTTGTGGAGGATCGTCGTGGTCGCCACTCCGCCCTCCACTTTCATGCTCGGCAACCTTCTTGCCTGTTCAACACATTGCAGTCAGTCATTCGACAGTCCTTTGCTGGAGGTAAAAATGCATCGAACACTCCCTGTTATCTCGCGATTCTCTAAGCTAACTCGCATTTTTCTAGATGCCGCAGACCTGGACCACGTGGAAAGATACCGATACACGATTATGCTAGGCGGAGAAACGAGTTCTTGCCGGTTCGACGCATTCCGCTCGGTCGTTCCACGGTCAAATCCAAGGTAAAGTGACCGACTATCTCTCTTATCTCACGATCCTAAAGTAACTCGCATTTTTTGTAGATCCCGCAGACCTGGATCACGTGGAAACATACCGAGACGAGATTATACTGGGTGGAGAAACGAGTTCTTGCTAGTTCGACGCATTCCAGACGGTCGTTCCATGGTCGATTCTAAGGCAAATTAATCAACTATCACCGTTATCTCACGATTCTAAAGCAACTCGCATTTTTGTAGAATCTGCAGACCTGCACCACGTGGAAATATACTGAGAAGAATTTATACCGCGTGGAGAAACGAGTTCTCGTCTGTTCGACGCATTCCAGACGGTCGTTGCATGGTCAATTCTAAGGTAAATTAATCTACTATCACCGTTATCTGACGACTCCAATCTAATTCGCATTCTTATCGCAGATCTGGATCGCGCGGGGACAGCGATGAGAAGAGTACACAAACGAGTAAGTTATACTAATTAACACGTTTAGCACTAGGATTTATTTCGCATTGTCTATCTGGATTGCTGGAGCTGTTATCGTGAAATGCAACCATACCTCCTTTATGAAACGTTGCGATAATTTTGAAGGTAGCTCATCCAGGACCGGAAGTGGACGGAGGAGCCAGTCCCGTTAATCCCGAATCAGTTTAGAATTAGGGAAGTTAACGAAGCATTTGTAAAGCCGGTGGAATCGTGCGGTGTCAGAGGGTTGGCCTGCTGCGTGGGCGTTATCATTCCCGCGGTTTGATCGATTGGATCGCGATTGGCCCGGCTCCGCTGCGTTTCGTCTACGTGCTCGGCGTGCGGCAGCATCCCGGCGTGCATACCGATGACTGATTTTAATGGAACGAGCCTGCGGCAATTTTACAAACCAGCAAGGACCCGTCGCGGTTCGACGACTCACATCGAATACGTAAATAACTGAATAACGCGAACGCTGCGATCGTTCGCCGGGACAAGCATCATCGACGAACTACGGATCGACGGAGCAGCAGCAAACGTCATCGACCAACTGGGATAGGAAGAAAGAGCGACAGAGATAGAGATAGATAGATAGATAGAGAGAGAGAGAGAGAGAGAGAGAGAGAGAGAAAGAGAGGGCGAGTTCCGCGTATAACCGAGCGGGTAATCTGGCAGGTGATCGACCGGCTAGCAGCGCAATCGGTTCCAGGGGGGATCTTGAATCTTGGAACGAGCTTTCGATCGAGTTCTCTTCTCTTTCTGGATCCCGGCGCGGCGGGGAAAACATCGGAAACAGGCAATATCGAGCGTGGGAGGGTCGCGGGCTGCCGGGCCGCTGGAAAGAGAATTAAATGGAACGAAAGCGGGAAGTAATCTTCGAGATCCACGTGGCGCGCACAGCTCCTGCTGGCAGAATTTTATTTTATTGACGCGCAGCCGTGGCGGCAGCCCGCCTCCACGGTGCCACATGGTCTCGTTATTAACGTGAAATGCAAACGAGCCCTTCGTTTCGTCCAAGGAACGGCGCCGTCGACGGACGGGCTCGCTATAATTTTTACTGCAAAATTGCATCGCCAACGCCGTCGTATTTTAACGGGCCGATAAACGTGTGCCCACTGGCGCTCTCTCTCTCTCTCTCTCTTTCTTTCCCTCCTACCCTCGATTCGCAACCCTTGTAAAAAGCAATATTTACCATAGTGTTGCGAGCAAAGCGTTCGGCGATAAATTATAGGAATCTGTCGATTGCCCCCCGAGGCTGCTCAGCTTTAACGACACATAATTTCATCCGGAATTAACGCGGCCGACGGTGGGCGGGATCGTTCTACTCGCCAGACGTCCAAAGAAACCAATTATCCGGATTAATATACGTTAATGGGAACCGCGCGGCTCGTGTACAGCTTTACGCGCCGATAATTGTAGACACCGCAGCCCGACCGGGTGCTCCTTTCGGAAACGAATTTCCAATTAGTCGACCTTTCGACGGCGCGGAGATTGTTGCGACAGGGGGAACGCGCGGCGGAACAATTCGCGTCGCGTCGCGTCGCGTCGGCTCCCGTCGCAGCGGCCATCCGCGATCGGCCATCGATCAATCTCCTCGCCGAATCTCGACGCGGAACGATAAAAACGTCACGTTTACACGGCGTTTGCGCGCGGCTGGCTCGACGACCGCGGACCACCGGCCGCGCTTTTATTATAACAGATGCCCGCAATAATTTTAATTGCCGTCAACGGCCCGTTTTCTTCTGTCGGCGTCGACGTGCGTCGGTGTTGTGTTACAGATGTCTGGAATTTACACGACCCAGTTGTCGCAAGTGTTGACACGCTCCCCGGTGCCAGACAACCTCGGGAAACGATCGAACCCCCGCGTATCGATCCAGCCAGCCGCGGTCGACAGCCTCTTTCGCCATCGATTCACGGACGCGCCGCGGCAGACGGTCGGGAGCGTAGACGGCGGCGCGTCCGCGGCAATTCGTTAAGATGCTTAGTTAAGCAAACAAGAGCGGAGTTGTTGGCAAACGATATAATACGTGCCACGGCAGANAAGAGCGACAGAGATAGAGATAGATAGATAGATAGAGAGAGAGAGAGAGAGAGAGAGAGAGAGAGAAAGAGAGGGCGAGTTCCGCGTATAACCGAGCGGGTAATCTGGCAGGTGATCGACCGGCTAGCAGCGCAATCGGTTCCAGGGGGGATCTTGAATCTTGGAACGAGCTTTCGATCGAGTTCTCTTCTCTTTCTGGATCCCGGCGCGGCGGGGAAAACATCGGAAACAGGCAATATCGAGCGTGGGAGGGTCGCGGGCTGCCGGGCCGCTGGAAAGAGAATTAAATGGAACGAAAGCGGGAAGTAATCTTCGAGATCCACGTGGCGCGCACAGCTCCTGCTGGCAGAATTTTATTTTATTGACGCGCAGCCGTGGCGGCAGCCCGCCTCCACGGTGCCACATGGTCTCGTTATTAACGTGAAATGCAAACGAGCCCTTCGTTTCGTCCAAGGAACGGCGCCGTCGACGGACGGGCTCGCTATAATTTTTACTGCAAAATTGCATCGCCAACGCCGTCGTATTTTAACGGGCCGATAAACGTGTGCCCACTGGCGCTCTCTCTCTCTCTCTCTCTTTCTTTCCCTCCTACCCTCGATTCGCAACCCTTGTAAAAAGCAATATTTACCATAGTGTTGCGAGCAAAGCGTTCGGCGATAAATTATAGGAATCTGTCGATTGCCCCCCGAGGCTGCTCAGCTTTAACGACACATAATTTCATCCGGAATTAACGCGGCCGACGGTGGGCGGGATCGTTCTACTCGCCAGACGTCCAAAGAAACCAATTATCCGGATTAATATACGTTAATGGGAACCGCGCGGCTCGTGTACAGCTTTACGCGCCGATAATTGTAGACACCGCAGCCCGACCGGGTGCTCCTTTCGGAAACGAATTTCCAATTAGTCGACCTTTCGACGGCGCGGAGATTGTTGCGACAGGGGGAACGCGCGGCGGAACAATTCGCGTCGCGTCGCGTCGCGTCGGCTCCCGTCGCAGCGGCCATCCGCGATCGGCCATCGATCAATCTCCTCGCCGAATCTCGACGCGGAACGATAAAAACGTCACGTTTACACGGCGTTTGCGCGCGGCTGGCTCGACGACCGCGGACCACCGGCCGCGCTTTTATTATAACAGATGCCCGCAATAATTTTAATTGCCGTCAACGGCCCGTTTTCTTCTGTCGGCGTCGACGTGCGTCGGTGTTGTGTTACAGATGTCTGGAATTTACACGACCCAGTTGTCGCAAGTGTTGACACGCTCCCCGGTGCCAGACAACCTCGGGAAACGATCGAACCCCCGCGTATCGATCCAGCCAGCCGCGGTCGACAGCCTCTTTCGCCATCGATTCACGGACGCGCCGCGGCAGACGGTCGGGAGCGTAGACGGCGGCGCGTCCGCGGCAATTCGTTAAGATGCTTAGTTAAGCAAACAAGAGCGGAGTTGTTGGCAAACGATATAATACGTGCCACGGCAGAAAATCCACGGCTCTCCGGCCGGTAATTGCGCGCAGCTGTGAAACGCGCACGGATATAAACGCGAGCTCACGCGCGCGACTTTTTTCGGTGCCGCGGATAGACCTGTAGGGGACGGGGTGCTCTACGGAGCCCTCTTCGGATGCTGGACTTAGGACGAGATAGTCTGCTGGCCTTTGACAAGCTGGGTGTCCAGAGGATACCATATAGACCAATGCCATGACCACATTGGAGGTCAAAGAAAACTGTGGCTACTTGATCTAGATAGATCAAGGACATAAGGGTCATCAGACATATATGTAAAACCTCGGGTACCCCCATTTCCGAATGTTAACATAATTATGGAACACCCTGTGTAATATAGAAATTTTTCAGGAATATACTTCAGAATAAAGGACAGCTACGGTCTCCAAAGCTGGATGTTCAAAGGCTACAAAGAGACAGGATGAATCGTGGACGGATCGTGCAATTGTACAGTGCCCTATCGACATCAAGCCACGCTTGCTCTTCGGAAATAGACGAATACATCCTTCTACATTCCTCGATGATACAGTTCGGAATAAAGGACAGCTACGATCAACGAAGCTAAATATTTAGAACGTCGCGTCCACGTCAGAGATTGCAAGATCTCTCTGACGTCAGTTGCCCCAGGGAGCAAGCCAGATCGCCGTGGGCAAAGGGCTCGTCGGATACGTCGGAGGCAGATCCGGATGACTTCGCGGGGGTAGCAGCACGAGGATTCTGGAAGACGAAGATCTGGCATCGTTCCTCGTGGCATCCGGAACGGTTTCGCGATCGCGGCGTCGATCGCGGTGGAAGCGAAACGGTGCGAACGAACCGGCGCGCGAGGACAAAAAAGCCCGGAGCAACGTATGGATCGATCGCGGGCACGTTTCGAAGGAAACGGCTTCGCCATCGTGCCAGACTGTGAGCTTATGTTTATACATATGTCCTGCACATGGTACGGTGCCTGTCGGACAGGAGGTTGCGCGGGTGGAGACGCAATTTCCAATATTAGAACGGCCAGGCGAGAGGCAGCAAGCCGGGCAAGCCAACCAGGCAACCGGACCAGATGTCTACCGTACTGACTAGCGAGAGAGCGCGACGTACGTTTAGCTTGCTTTCATTACAAAAATGTCACGCACAGCCACCGTGTGTGTCTTCTTGCTCGCACCGGCCTTTGACGACGAGCGACCGCCCTCCCTCTCGCTCTTTGTCTCCGCGTTGCCGACCCCGCGCCCGCCCTCGATCATCCTGCTCGCCTAGTTACCGCGGAAA